AATTTAAACATACCTTTTTATTATCTTCAGATAATTCCCAATCTAGATTAAAAGTTAAAATTAAGATAAGAAAATAAAAATAAAAAAATAGATTTGATATAAAATATTTAATAGTTACCTTTATGAACTTTTTCTAAATAAGTTTTCTTTGATTTTTCATCCAATGGTGGTATATCACCTTCGCTGTGTATTTTTTTTTAAATTTTTTAAGTTTTTTTTATAAAATTTTTTTTATTGTTTATTGTTTGTAATTATTTTATTGTGTTTATTTTGTTTTAAAAAAAAGTAAAGGATGAATATTTATCCAAATATAAATTATTTGTTTTTATACTGGTAATGGAAATAGAAAGGTATAGTAATAACGGCAAACATAAATTCCCATAATAATAATAATTTAATCTTACCATGGAACACATTTTTTTTTACTTAAATCTTCATTTATGGTTGATTGATTATTTGATGAAGAGGAGGAAAAACTGCAAACTCCATCTTTATTATTATTATTATTACTACTATTATCTAAATTCATTATTTTTGTAATTGAAATGAATGATTTTTTAAAGTTGATGTTTTCGTTAGTGGAACTACTACCACCACAAATACTGGTATTTATATTTTTATTATTTATAAAACAATTGCTTTTATAATTGTTTGTATTATTTAATATTTTAATAAAAGATATTCTATTAAAGTTAAGTTTATTCATAATATAGGTGAATACAAGTTGTTAAAAAAAAAAAAACTAAACAAACAAACAAAAACAAAAACAAATGAAAAGGAAAATGTTAAATTAAATTTAATAATTAAAAAAAAAAAAATTTTAATTTGAAAATAAAAAAAAATTAAAAAAAAAAAAAAAAATAAATATTTTTTTTTTAATTTTTAATTTATTTTTATTAGGTATAGATATAAACAAAAATATAAATAATGAATTATATCAATAAATAAATGAAAGTAATAAATTGTAAGATAGTATCTGATGTTGCTATTTGAGGGGCAACACACCCATTTTATTAATAACTTCAAAATAAAGAAAAAATAATAATTAAATATTAAAAAAAAAAATTCAAAAAAAAACTTTTTTTTTTTTTTTTTTTTTCTTTTTTTTTTATAATTTTTTTAAATTTTAAAATTTTTCTAATTTTTTCTATTTTTTTTATAAATTTTTTTTATAAATTTTTTAATTTATTTTTATATTCCAATTTTTTTTTTCAAAATCTATATACACAAATATATATAATCTATTGATTAATTATCATAACAGTATTTAAATAAAACATTTAGATATTTATTCAATTGATCAATAATATTCATTTTGGTGCAGTTATACCACACCAAACACTTAAAAAATTCAAGTTTTTATTTTTTGAATATAAAAAAAAACAATACACACACAATTTAAGTTATTATAGCAAAATAATATAGCATACAAATAATAGTAGTAATAAAATGTCAGGTGATCAAATTACAGTTGATGAATTATGGCAAGATAGCCAACCTACTTTTGAGGATCTTTTCTTAGATTTAAAAAAAGGTTTAACCAGAAAGCGTTATATGGAAATTTATACGTAGGTTTTTTTTTTTTTTTTTGGTTTATAAAAAGCTAAACAAACTATAGCAATTTAAAGAAATTTGTGTATTAATATATTTTTTTTTTTTTTTGGAATAGTAAAATTTATAATTACTGTTCATCAGCCAATGAAAAAGCACTTACCGATTTTTATCAACCAAAAGTTAAACAATTAGTATCAGAAAAAGCCATTCAAATTATGTCTGTATGTATAATCAACTAACTTTTAATTTAAAAACTTCAAATACTAACTTTTTTTTCCATAAATATTTGTGCACAATAACAGAGATCTGAATCACTTCCAAATGATGCATTATTATTATTCTTCAGAAATCAATGGAACGAATGGAAAATGTCAAGTAGTGTATTAAAGAATCTTTTATCACCAGTTGTAAGTTTAATAAACCTATAAATAATTAAAGGGCAATTAAACAAAAAACTAATTTAAATAATTCTTTTTTTTTTTTTCTACTTTATTTAGAACAAAATTCATTCAAGTGATAAAAAAACAACCAGTTCATCAACTAATTCATCTGAATCTGTTGTTTATTCAGACACTTTAAATGCTTGGAGAGAAACTGCATTTACTCCATTAAAAAATAAGTTATCAGTTTCATTGCTTTCAATTATTAAAAATGATAGAACTGGTGATTCAGCAAATCTTCAAGTTTTAAGTGATTCACTTGAATGTTATGGTAAGTTTCATTTAATACTCCCATTACTTTATTTTATAAATATATTAATTTTTTTTGTTATAATTTATGATTTTAGTTCAACTTGGTCCAGAAAAAAATAAATTAGAAATTTATCAAAGTTGTTTTGAAAATCAATTCCTTTCAGAAACAGAAACTTTTTATAAAGTAGAATCACAGGATTTCATTGAAAAGAATGGTGTTAGCGAGTATATGAGACATGTCTACAATCGTATCTCACAAGAAACCAATAGAGTAAATAAATATATGCCAATTAGCACCTTAGATAAACTAACAAAGATTCTCAATTCTGTTTTAATTTCAAATTACAAAGATCAATTTGCCAACAAATTCCTCGATATTTTAATTGAGGATAAAAGTGCTGATTTAGCTATGATGTATTCACTCTTAAATCGTGTTAATTACCTCCTACCACTCAGAGTTACATTCTCAGATTTTATTAGATCTGAAGGTCTCAAAGAAATTGAAAGTAATTTGAAAGAAGCACAAGAAAAACCACAAGTACTCATTTCAATCCTTCTCAAAGTTTACAGCCGTTTCAATATTATGATCAAAGAATGTTATAACAACGATACCGATTTCACCACTGCTATGGATAAATCATTCACCAACCTTGTCAATGAAAACCCAGCTTCATTCGACCCAAAGAAAAAAGAAAGTACCATCCCAGTTGTCTTATCCAAATTCTGTGATCAAATTCTCAGAAAAGGTCCATATCACATTAGCGATGAAACTGAATTAGAACAGAAACTTACTGAAGCCGTTTGTCTCTTTAGATATCTCCCAGATAAAGATATCTTTATGCTCAATTATCAAAAAATGCTTTCAAAAAGATTGGTCGAAGATATCTCTGCAAGTGAAGATGCTGAAACTCTTATGATCAACAAACTCAAGAATCACCAAGGTTTCGATTACTGTACTAAATTAACAAGAATGATTACTGATATGAGACTTTGCAAAGATATTAATACAAATTTCCAAAATCACTTAAACGAAAAGAATTTAACTTTACCATGTAAGTGTAAATATATAAATATTAATAAAGTAAAAATATTAACTTTTTTAATTTTTCTTTTTAATAGACACTTTCAACTTTTATGTTTTAACCAATGGTTCATGGTCACTTACTAACAAACCATCCAACACTCCATTCAAACCACCAGCTGAAGTAAGTTTAATTTATTTAAATTGGCACACAGAAACCAAAGTAAATTAATATTAATTTTTTTTTTTTTTTTTTTAGATGTTATCAAGTATTACATATTTTGAAAACTTTTATAAAAAGAGTTACCAAGGTAGAGTTTTAACTTTCCTTTATGATTTCTCAAGAGCTGATGTCGATTCAAGACAAGTTAAAGGAAAAATCTATAAGCTTTCAGTATGTTAACTTTTAAAATATATTTAATTATTTAAAAAGAAAATATTGCTAATATTTATTTATTATCATTAGACCACAGCATATCAAATGGCAATTTTATTAATGTTTAATTCAGCTGATAAGGTTACTAGATTCCAAATTAACGATACAATTGGTTTGGATGAGAATACTGTTCGTATTCCATTATTGTCATTAATAAAGGTTGGTGTTATTGATTGTTCAGATGCCAATTACAAATCTTGGAATAATGATACCGAATTTAATGTAAACTCTAAATTCACATCAAAAAAAATGAAGGTTAATTGTAACATATCTGTTCAAATTGGTGAAAACAAAACATCAGAAGGTCAACAAACTGTCAGTGACCAAGAAGTCGAAAAAGAACGTTTCTTCAAGCTTCAAGCTGCTATTGTACGTATTATGAAATCCAAAAAGACTCTTTCACACAATGAACTCACTGTAGAAACCACCACCCAAGTCAGTAAATGGTTCACTCCAAAAATCGCTTCAATTAAGAAGGCTATCGAATATTTAATTGATCAAGAATACATTAGAAGAACAAATGACGATAATCCATCCGCAAGAAAATATGAATATATGGCTTAAAAAAAAAGAAAAAAAAAAATCTCAACAACTTTTTTTTTTTTTTTCAACAAAATCAAATAATCCTTTTTTTTTCATTCATATATAATATAAATAATATTAAAAAATATAAATTCAGTGTTACATTAAAAAAAACTATATAAATAAAATAAAAATATACCAATATATTCATGTTCAAATAGATAGTTTAAAAAAAAAAAATCAACTCATTTCATTTTTGTTTACCTTTTGAAAATGTTTCATTTTCCCTTTATATTTATTTGAAGTTAATATACATGCACCCCTTGAATTTTTTTATTTATTTTTTTTTTTTTTAAAAAAAATTTATTTATTTTTTTTTAAATTTTTTTTAAATTTTTTTTTTTTTATTTTTTATTTTTTTAAAATTATTTTTTTATTTTTTTTTTTTCAACACATTAATTTTCATTTTCAAACAGAAATAATAAATAATATTACATTTTGTTATTTAATAAAAATTTAAAGTTATAAAATGATAAGATCAACCAAATTATTCCAACCACTTTTCTCATCAAAAGTCTTAGGTTCATATGGACCAAATTTAGCACTTGAACCATCGAAATATTCAGGCTCAAGATTCTCATCAAATACTACTCCACAACCAAAACATTTAACTAATGACCAAGCATTACCAGATCCAGCTAAAGCAATTTTAAAATACAAATTATTCCACTACAGCACCATTGGTCTTGCTATTTGTTTACCAGCTTCAATTTTACTCCCAGCCAGTGGTCTCACTTTAGCAACTGATTGTATTCTCGGTGTTGTTCTCCCAACTCATCTCTTTTTTGGTTTAAATGCAGTTATTAATGATTATATTTACCAACCATTCGTTAGAAGTAAATATTCTTTATAATTTTTTAGATAATACTTTTAAAATTTAAAAATTCATTCCATATTAACATTCATTATTTATTTAGAAACTTTTGCTTTAGGTTCAATTATTATTTCAGCTGTTGTTGGTTTAGGTGTTTTATTCATCACCTCAAAACACGAAAGTTTTGGTACAGTTGTTCGTAGATTATGGACTAAATAAAATTTAAAAGAAAGTGATATTACTAATTTGGAATTTAAATGTTCATCTTTTTAAATATTAATATTGTTCAAATTATTTTTATAAAATAATAATAATAAAAAAATAAAAACCACAACAAAAAAAAAAACAAATATAATTTTAAAATGTAAAAAAAAAATAAAAACTAGTTGGAAAATAAAAATTATATAAATATAAAAAAACAAACAAATATTATAAAACTTTTTTTTTTTTTTTTCTTTTTCCTTTATATGATAAGTAATATTAACATTAATATTATTTATTTATTTATTTGTTATACTTTTACTTTTTATTATTTGTTTTTATTCTTAACATGTTGGTTTTTCTGCATCTGGTTGGTTTAATGGTTCAGCAGATTTGAATTCTGGGATTGAAGAAAGTGTTTCATTAATACGTGCAATGTTTGGATATGGAGTCATATCTAAATTGAAACGATGTGCATTATAAACTTGTGCTGGAATACAAAGATCAGCAAAACTAATTTCATCACCGACACAATATTTACCACTATGTATTTCCAAAAGTTTTTCTAAACCATTGAAGCCATTGGCGATCCATTGACGTGCCCATTCAGCTTTCTTGGAGTCATCTCCTGATAATTGTGCAACAGCACCAAGTACTTTAAGGTTTTGGAGTGGTTGGATATCAGATCCGATAATTTGCATCATTTGTCTTGAAATTGCACGTTTTAATGGATCTTTTGGCATTAATGGGTTTATGGTATAGACCTCTTCGAGGTATTCTAAAATTGCCAATGATTGTCCAATAACATGACCATTGATAATTAATGATGGAACCTAAATAAATAAGTGAAATAAATTATTTGTTAATATATTGCCCTATATTAGTTAATAATAATAAGTCATACATACAGATTTCATTGGGTTAACTTTACTGTATTCTTCTGATTTTTGTTGACCACCATCTTTTAAAAGATGAATTGGTGCATATTCATACTTGATACGTTTATATTCGAGAGCAATTCTGACTCTCCAGCTGCATGATGATCTCCAATATGAATATAAAATAACTTTTTCTTCATTCATTTTTATGTTATTGATATATTTTTTAATTTATCTTTTGTTTTTTTATTTTTTTGTATGTTTGTAATTAATTTTTTAATTTTTTAAATATGAAAATAAAAAAAGATAAATTTTTTTTTTTAATTAAAAAATTTAAAAAAAAAATTGAAAAGTCTATATAAAAATTAAAAAATAAAAAAAAATAAAAAAAAAAAATAAAATTGTAATTCAGATACAATTTTTTTAATAATATCTGTACAATAAAAATCAAAATTAAACACATACATACACAAAATTATTTTTTATTAAAATGATTATATATGTTTATATTTAAATTCTTATTTATGGGTGGTTTTATAAAAAAAATAAATATAACCAAAAAAAAGAGATAATCGATTTTTTTTTATATGTGTTTTTTCTTGTGCGTAATTACATGTTGTTTTTTATTTTTTTTTTTTTGTGGAGGTATGAAATTAATTATAATAAGGATATTTAAAAATAAAATTTTTTTTAAATTAAAAAAAATTATTAAAATGATTAAGATTGTAAAAAAAAAAAAATTTAAAATATAAATAATAGGGTGTTATTTTTAAAAAAAATTAATATGGGTTTTTTATAAATCAATGATTAAATGTTCAATATACAAATTTTATTTTATTTTAAAACTGTCGATGATTTGGCACACAAAACCACCCCCCATATAGCACTAGGCATATCACTTATAAAAATAAATAAAGAGGGGTATGGTGATTTAGTATCATTTCCTAAAATCTACAACATTTTTTTATGATTTTTTAATAGTTGTAATCTGGTGTTTATTTTTAATAATTTAAAAAAAATTAAAATAATTTAAATTTTATAAAAAAAAAAGAAACTTTTTTTTTTTTCAACTTTTTTTCAAATTTTTTTTTTTTAAACAAAATATTTTTTATGATATATCCTTTTAAATGGCAAAAAAATGATATATAAATTTTTTATTTTTTTTATTTATTTATTAAATAATATAAATTATAGCAGGGGCGACAGTAGTGATGGTTGTAAGTTTATTTTTTTAAAATTTTTTTATTTTTTTTAAATTTAAAAATCTAATAATTTTTTAGTTCGAAGTATTATAGAAATACAGCAAGGCGGATTTTATAATGTAACTAAAGTCAATGTTTTTTCGGAATATTCAAATGTTAAGCCAACAATAGACCTCCCTTTGCACTATAGTTACTATTCAAATATTTGTGATGGCAGTGATGTTAAACATAGTATTACAAGCGGTCAAATAACGTCATCTGCTTTCGGTTTAGGTGGTTATTCTTTGGGTGAAATTTTATATATTGAAGAGGGTATGATATTTTAAATTAATAATTTTTATTTTTATTTTTATTTTTCATTTTCTAATAAAAATTTTTATTTAGGTCATAGTCTTTTCACTGATCAACTCGATGCATTAGGTAATCTTGTGGATATTATATGTATAAAGGGATCTTTTAAAATCATGAGCAATTTTATTAATGTGGGATATATTGTTTTACCTGGTGGCGAATTAATAGTAGACGGAGATTACTCAATAACATTTGTCAAATTACACAATACAAATATTACCGACCCATATAATTATTTCCCTGGTATTCTAAATTTGGGTGGATCGTTTTTGTATAATGGAAACATGTTAAAATATAGAGCTACCATAATTGGTACTAAAAAGTTACAGTTCGATCAAGACCTTACTGGTATTCAAATAACAACAAAATTGGGCATTTTAGGTCCAAAAAAGCCATATTCTATCGCTCAATTTCCCACTTATGATCAAATTTCTCGTACTATTTCATTCTTAATAGATATGTTTTCAGAGGATCTTATTGGTGAGTTGGTTATAGTTTTTAGAACCAATTCAGTTATTTCAACCCAAGAGACAGATGTATCAGTTTTTATGGCAGGCCAATCAAAAGTATCAATCAAAAATGTATTTTTTAATTTTCATGGTAGAACAACAAATTATGCATACGATGATACAACACTCGAAATATCACCAAATGACCCATCAATAGCAACTGCTGTTAATATGGGAGCCAATCAAAGATTTAGAGGTGTATTAAATTTTCAATTCTCAGAAAACGTGGTTATTGATAATTGTGTATTTTCAATTATGGATGATGGTAGAGCCCCAATTATTGCATTCGCATCAAGTTTAAATATTTCAAACAGTATTATAGCAAGTAAATCAGGATCAAATATTATTGCTCAGTATGGTACCGAATTAATTTATTCAGAAAATAATTATTATTTTTTAGAATCGGCCGATTCATCACCTCTACAGACACCATCAGAATCAAATATGGACTATGGATATGAAGGAAATGCAATTTATTCATTATCACCAAACATATCATCAACCAATGATGTTTTCTTCGGTCATAATAATGTATTTAATTTCAATTTTATATCAAACAGATCAACAATTACCGGATTAGATAAAGATTGTTATTTACCCTGTACATCACCATCATCAGCAGTATCAAATTTAGTTCAATATCCAATCGAATTTAAAATCAATAATCCAACAATAATCCAAAACGATAATACAGCTGATATCTCCTCTTCATTATTATCAACAAAACAATATTTAATTAAAATTAATAACAATGGTAATCTTCCAAGTAGAACATTTTCAATTAAAGATCTTCAAATATCAACACCGACCTCAATATTTGTAAATCTTCCAGATAGCACTTTATTATTAAACAACATCAACTCATTAAACGATTTTTCAATTGATGGAATAATTACAAAATTACAAATTATCAATTCAAATATTTATTCATCAAAAAATAACAATGTAACAATATCATCAACATCAATTCAAAATACATCAATCAAAGGTAAATTAAAAGAAATTAACCTTCCAATTAATCAAAATTATGGATCAATCTCAACTCCATATTTTTATTCAAGCATCGAAATGTTAAATAATATTACAATTAAATCAATTAGCCCATCTATACCTCAACAAATGAACACTAATACCACATTAAACATAATTGTTGAATTTGAAACATTATTAAATGTCAATACACTTCAATGTGCTTATGGTACTTCAATAGGTGGTGATATTTCCGATACTTTTGGGCCATATACATATCTTACCGAATCAAAATGTCAATTCGAATTTAAACCAACAGCCGAAGGAGCATACAATTTAGTTGTAATTCTTAAAACAGAAAATGATAATGATTATTATATAATAATACTACCAATAATAAATGTATTCACTAAATATGGGTTTAAATCTGGTTTGTTCTTTAACGAAGCTGAATTAAATTTAGAAATCGAAGGAAATACTTTTATATCAGGGTGTATCAAACCAAATTGTACTATTAATGAAAACAATTTAAAATATTCAACACTCCCAAATACAATAGGAAACAGTCCATTCCAAGATATTGTTAAATACGGTGTAACTACAAATGATGAATCAAAACCATTAGAAATACAAATTCCATTAAATTCAACAGGCACTGATTATCAAATTCAACTATATTTTGTTTATTATCAAGCAATCGATGATTATGGCAGTCCATTATCAATTTATATAAATGACAAACCAATTATTATTTTAGAAACTATTTACGAAGAATCAACATTCAAAAACATCACATTTTATTACGACAATACTCAAAAATCATCAAATGCAAATTTAAGAATCGAAAACAGAGGCGATATTTATCTAACATCAATTGTAACCTATTCAAACCTAGAACCTCCAATTATAACTGACCCACCAGTTTCACCAACTCCATCAATTACACCACCTATAATTCCGGTCAAAGAGGATACTCTTTTATTAGTTAAAAGTATTGTTCCTAGTGTTGGTACCTTTATAATTGTATCAATTATTTTATTTTTGCTTTTCAAAAAGTTCAAGTGGTCTATTAGAGCATTTTTTGGTTCTGTTTACTATAAGTATCTAGGAGGTGATGGGACACAGGCGCTATTTGATCCAACTGATTATGATAAATATCAAGCTCATTCCGAGGTTTTGGCTTATTTACATGGTTCAAAATTTTGTATTCCAACTGAGGATACTTTCCCACTTTTACTTTCAACCTCAAGATTAGATTTTGGTTTAAATGGAAAATTATCATCACCAGACACCATTCTTCACGATAGGCTAATTCTTACCAACAAGATTTCATCAAAATTGAAATATTTACTAATTTTACCACCATATAATAATGGTATTGTTTGCAGCTCATCTAAACTATATGGATCAATTGAACCAGGTGAATCAGTTGAAATCATTATTACTTTAACCCTCTTCTGTACCGCTTTGTTTTTCGAAAAAATTGCACTTTTTGTTGAAGGACATGGCCATACTTTTATTTGCATTAATGTTCAATCAAGTCTTTCAGAACAGTTGGATATTCAAGAATTTGAATTTGGATCTATTCTTGGGGAGGGCTCATCTAGTGTTGTCTATAAATGTAAATGGAGAAACGAAATTACTGCAGTTAAATTAGTCAATAATAGATACTCTAAATCCCTTTCAAGAGAAATAGATTTATTAAGGAAGATAAAACACCAAAATATAGTTTCCTTTTTAGGTACGGTCACTAATTTCAAATATTTATGTATTGTTACCGAGTATGCAAAATATGGTAGTTTACATAGTATTTTACACAAAACTGCTATTAAACTTTCTGTTATTCAAAAACTCAATATTGCCATCGATATTGCCAGGGGTTGCTCTTTTCTTCATCAATCTAAAATTATCCACAGAGATTTAAAACCAGCCAATATATTACTTTTTAATATCGAAGATTCAGGTATTTGTGCAAAGATTTCAGATTTTGGTTCATCAAGAGAAATTTCATCAGATGATGCAACAATGACAAATCATATTGGAACAACTGTTTACATGAGCAATCAAGTTTTAGAAAAAAAGAAATACAACTACCTCACAGATATCTATTCCTATGGTATTTTATTATATGAACTAATGACCGAAGTTATTCCATACTCTGAAATGAATATTTCATGGAGTCTTCCAAGATTTGTTATTTCCGGTGGTCGTCCATCTAAAGGTTTAGAAAATGTAAATGAAGAAATCATTCAAATTATTGTATCTTGCTGGAGTGGTGAAGAAAATGAAAGATTACAATTTAATGATATTATTTCAAAATTAGAAAATCTTTACAATGGACTTTTAGAAAAGCGTTCAGGTAATCAAAAAGAAAAGAACAAAGCCGAAACAGATGAAAAAAATTGTATAAAAACAAAGGCCAACCTTCAAATTCAAAATCAAATGGTTAAAAATCGAATTATTGAAGAGAAAATTGTTAATGAACAAAGTTTCAAATATTCAATATCAGAAACATCAAGCGACAAAGATAGTGTTGAAATGAAAGATCTATCAAGTGCTCCACTGCCAATAGAAATTAAAGTAGAACAGCCTACAGCAGAAGGTTCATCAAGAAATAGTATTGAAATGAAAGAAATTAGAACCTCTTCTTCGTTAGAAAGAAAAATAGAAAATAAATTGGAAAAACAATTGAATGATGTAGAATATTTATTTAAAATCAGAAAGGCCGGTGGTCGTACATTAGAAAGCCTTGACGATGGTTTTAATCTTTTCATGGATTTGGATGAACAAGAGAAAATAAAAAAATTAAATGAACAATACATATTACAAATTCAACAAAAAGAACAAGAAGTTGAAAAGGAGTCACAAGAAAAGGGGTCACAAGAAAAGGAGTCACAAGAAAAGGAGTCACAAGAAAAGGAGCCACAAGAAAAGCAGCCGCAAGAAGAACAGTCACAGGAAAAACAACAAGAAATAAAAATACTTGAAGAGAGAATGGCCAAAGAAAGAGAAAAGAAAAGAGATACTATAAAAAACGTGGTTTTTGTAAGCAATACTCAACTTAAAGATGGTGAAATAAAAGGATTAAATGAAAACACCTCATTTAGATTTGAAAGAACTCCAGCTAAAGAAGAAAATTCAAGCGAAACAAAGAGTTATTTAACTTTATTCGACTATTTAGTTAGTTTACCAAAATTAGATATATTTGGTTCGTTAATCAAAAGAGTTAAAACCAAGTTTTCAAATAATCAAAATCAAAAAGTAAACTGTCACAAGGAAGAAAATGATTTACGGGGAGGTGAAAACCAGGAAATTTTCAGTGTTGATTATGTTATCGATCCAAAGATTGGTCATCTTTTAGAACAATTAGCAGCCTCAAAAAAAATAAATTTACCAATTCTGGAGGATTTATCTTTAACAAACAGTAATTATACCAAAAATGATAATATTCAAATAGGTTACATCCCCAATAAAGATCCAATCACAATTTTACCAGGTATAAAAAGTTTCCAAAGCTATAAAAGCAAAAACTCCAACTCTGCAGATTTCAAAAATAAATTAAAACCAATCTCATTTGTTCCAAATAGCCCTCCAGAAACCCATCCACCATTTTTTGCAATTCCCACCAGAAGAAAATATGATGAATATTTAAAAAACCAGTTATATCATTTTATTACAAAAAATAAAACAACAGATTGTAATATCGAAATATCTTAAAATAAAATATAAATTTGTACCATATTAAAAATAAACAAAAAAAAGTATAGAAATATATTATGGGATCTTGAACTATAGTGTATTTTATTATTTTGAACAATATAATGTTTCGAATAATCCCTTTTATAAAAAAAAATTTGGTCAATAAAAATTATCTACATTTTTTAAAAAATGCATTGGTATTATTTAATAAAAGTTAATTAAATTATATTTACTTTGAGATTGAGTTTTTAGATTGGTTTTTTTGTCCTTTTTTAATTTGATTTCTATTTTTTTTTTCATTTAATAATTTTCTCTCCTCTTTCTTTTTTTCTAACTCCTCTTCCAGTTTCATTTTGTGCAGTTCTTTTTCTTTTAAATCTATATCTTCTAAAATTTTTAATTTTTTAACAGGTTTTTTTTATGGTTTTTCACGTTGACTCTCTATATTTTTTTCACCATCACCCTCTCTATTTTCTTCATTTTCTTCACTTTCTATATTTTCATCAACATCACTTATTTTTTTTTTGTATGATCTTATATATTTGTATTTATATTTGTATTTAAGTTTTTAGTTTAAAAAAAAAATTTTTAAAAAAAATAAAAAAATTTAGTGTGATAATAAAAAAAAAATCAATCACAAATTAAAATTATTTTAATTTAATTCAAAATTATTATAATTAAATTAAATATTATTATATTTAAAATTTTTGAATAAAAAAAATTAATAAAATATATTTTTTAAAGAAAAAAATTTACCGTGCCAAGAAGAAAACCAAATATTGCGCAAACTTGACCGGCTTCTACAATAATAAAAATTATAAAACCACTTTTTTCTTTGTTGGCTCTTGTAACGAAAGGAGCTTTATTGTAGCTTTTCTTTTGTGGAACTGTCATATCTTCTTCCTAACAGAAATGTATAAAGTATCATTTCTTTTATCCAAACATTGTTGAATTTCTTATACTTGTTATGTTTTTTTTCTTTTGATGCGTCCTTAATCTTCATTATTGAATATATTTATTTATTTATTAATTTATTTATTTATTTATTTATTTATTTATTTATTTATTTATTCATTTCTTTATTTCTTTATTTCTCTATTAACAAAGGGATGTTTTACAATGTATTTTTAAATAAAATAAATTCCATTAATTATAAAAACCCAGTTTTTTTAATTTCTCTTTAATTTTATATTTTATTATTTAATTAAATATTAAAGTTGATTTATTTGTTTTAAACAAATGTCTTTAAAGTAGTTTTTTTATTTACAATTTTGGTATTATTAAATATCTTTTTTATTATTATTATTATTATTATTATTATTATTATTATTATTATTATTATTATTATTATTATTATTATTATTATTATTATTACTATTATTACTATCATTATTATTGATACTATGATTTAAGTTTTCACTTGATGAGTTATTTTCTGATAATGGAATGGTTTGAGATTTATCTGAAACTTGAATTAAAAAATCATTATTTAATTTAATTTTTTCGTCATATTCGGGTGTTTGATATTCATTCAAACTTTGAATAACATTGAGATTTTCATCCAGAAGAATATTTGAAGTATCCGTAAAATTTGGATTGATGGCTTTTAATAATTTGGTATTTGTATTGAAATTTGGATTTAAAAATAAATTATGAGCACCTTCAACAAAAGCTTGTTTCATTAATGTTTCAAACTTTCCAATTTTTGATACATTATAGTTGCTATCTTGGGTTGTTCTTTCAAATTTGATGCTTGCTCTTAATCTTTCTCTAAAGTCATATGAGGCATTTTGATAAATATTTTGGTAATCTTCACTAATAATAAATAGTTTTTTATGTTCTGGTGGTGGTCTTGGAAGTTGTGGTAATTGTTCTTTTGATTCTATTTTTTTTTCTGGTGTTTTGTGTTCTTGAATATTAATTTTTAAAAATTTATTATCACCTTCGATAATATCCATTTCGATTTCAGTTACTTGATTACCTTTTTCTCTTTCGCTCTCTCTTTCATCTATTCTTTGCAATAAATGTTCTCTTTCAGATAATAAATGATTATATAAACTTGTTAATTGTGTAACTATATTTTTAAAAGAAGGTCTATTTCTTGAATTTGCATCCCAACAAGCTTTTATTAAAACTGCAATACCTGTGTCTATATTATCTAAGCCTTTCGATGGACGATTCCCTCTTATTACACTTTGAGGGATATGTGTTTTTGCAAACTCTGAAAATGGTTTGTAACCTGTCATTATTTCGTATAATAAAACTCCATAAGAATATACATCCGCAGAAAAGTTGTATTTTTTACCTGACAAAACTTCGTTGCTCATATAGTATGGTGTACCAACATTATTGGTGAGTTGTGTATCTGTTTCAAATGAAACTTGTCTTGATGAACCAAAATCTGAAACTTTTGCGCATGTACCGGAGTCAGCAATATTAAAAATTAATATATTTCCAGGTTTTAAATCTCTATGGATAATCTTATTGTGATGAAGATAGGCACATCCTTTAGCGATATCAAGAGCAATATTAAGTTTTTGAATTAATGAGAGCTGCACTTTATTATTATTATTATATAAAACACTATGTAAACTGCCATATCTTGCATATTCTGTAACGATACATAAACATTGGAAATTTGTAATAACCCCAATAAATGAGATAATATTTGGATGCTTGGTTTCTGATAAAACTTTGATTTCTCTTCCGTTTGTTTTGGGTTGATCAACTTTTATAACTTTAACGGCAGTATTTTGACCCCTCCAGCTAGCTTCATATACAATACCAAATGTACCTTCACCAAGAATTCCACCAAATTCAAATTCTGATATATCTAAAAGAGGTGAAAGAGATGATTCAGCATGAAGACAAACAAAGGTATGGCCGTATCCTTTTACAAAAATTGCAAATTTTTCTAAAAATTGTATAGTACATAATACTTTGAGACTAAAAGTAAGAGTCTTTGACTCACCTGGATTAACTTCACCGGAATCGAAATCTGGTACACATTCAATTCCCTTATTGCTTGGTGGAACTAGTAATATAAAGCTAATCGTCTTGTTTGTTCTGTTGGTAATGGTTATTTGATCATATAGAGTTGCTCCTACTTTGCACTGTTTTCCTTTTAACCCGAAATCTAATTTATATGTTGAGAGTATAAGTGGAAAAGATTTTGATGTTGGTGTAAAGAATTTGGAAAATTGTAATAGTTTATAAATGCTAGAGTGAACTTGATATTTATCATAGTCTGTTGGATTGAATGGAAGGCTGCTAATAAAACCGAAGAGTCTAATATACAAAAGAATAAAGTATGCTCTATTTGGCCAATTATATTTTTTATAAATGAATAAGAGGAATAATAAAAGGGCAATAACTACACAGACTATTGGTACAAGAATTTTAATAAGATATTTGTAGTCTTTTACTGGTGGAACTAGTGGTTGGATCAAAGGTTGGACATTGGAATAGGTTACAATTGATGTTAGATAAATATCGCCTCTGTTTTCGATTCTTAAATTTGCATTTGATGATTTTTGAGTATTGTTGTAATAAAATGTGATGTTTCTGAATGTTGATTCTTCGTAAATAGTTTCTAAAATTATAATTGGTTTGTCATTTATATAAATTGATAATGGACTGCCATAATGATCGATTGCTTGATAATAAACAAAATATAGTTGAATTTGATAATCAGTGCCTGTTGAATTTAATGGAATTTGTATTTCTAATGGTTTTGATTCATCATTTGTAGTTACACCGTATTTAACAATATCTTGGAATGGACTGTTTCCTATTGTATTTGGGAGTGTTGAATATTTTAAATTGTTTTCATTAATAGTACAATATGGTTTGGTACACCCTGATATAAAAGTATTTCCTTCGATTTCTAATTTTGATTCAGTTTCATTAAAGAATAGGCCAGAATAATATCTATATTTTGTAATTACATTTATTATTGGTAATGTTATTATATAATAACCACTATCATTTTCTGTTTTAAGAATTACAACTAAACTGAATGCTCCTTCGACTGTTGGTTTAAATTCGAATTGGCATTTTGATTCGGTTAGATATGTATAGGGACTGAAAGTATCGGACATTTCACCACCTATTGAAGTACCATAAGCACATTGAAGTGTATTGATATTTAATAATGTTTCAAATTCGACAATTATGTTTAATGTGGTATTGGTATTCATTTGATGAGGTATAGATGGGCTAATTGATTTAATTGTAATATTATTTAACATTTCGATGCTTGAATAAAAATATGGAGTTGAGATTGATCCATAATTTTGATTAATTGGAAGGTTAATTTCTTTTAATTTACCTTTGATTGATGTATTTTGAATTGATGTTGATGATATTGTTACATTGTTATTTTTTGATGAATAAATATTTGAATTGATAATTTGTAATTTTGTAATTATTCCATCAATTGAAAAATCGTTTAATGAGTTGATGTTGTTTAATAATAAAGTGCTATCTGGAAGATTTACAAATATTGAGGTCGGTGTTGATATTTGAAGATCTTTAATTGAAAATGTTCTACTTGGAAGATTACCATTGTTATTAATTTTAATTAAATATTGTTTTGTTGATAATAATGAAGAGGAGATATCAGCTGTATTATCGTTTTGGATTATTGTTGGATTATTGATTTTAAATTCGATTGGATATTGAACTAAATTTGATACTGCTGATGATGGTGATGTACAGGGTAAATAACAATCTTTATCTAATCCGGTAATTGTTGATCTGTTTGATATAAAATTGAAATTAAATACATTATTATGACCGAAGAAAACATCATTGGTTGATGATATGTTTGGTGATAATGAATAAATTGCATTTCCTTCATATCCATAGTCCATACTTGATTCAGGTGGTGTCTGTAAAGGTGATGAGTCGGCCGATTCTAAAAAATAATAATTATTTTCTGAATAAATTAATTCGGTGCCATACTGCGCAATAATATTTGATCCTGATTTACTTGATATAATACTGTTTGAAATGTTTAAACTTGATGCGAATGCAACGATTGGAGCTCTACCATCGTCTATTGAGAGAATTGCACAGCCATCAAATATAGCTTCATTGACAAATTGTAAATTTAATAAACCTCTAAATCTTTGATTGGATCCAATATTAACACTAATTGCTATTGATGGGTCATTTGGTGACATTTCAAGTGTTGTATCGTCATATGCATAATTTGTTGTTCTACCTGATAGTTGAATGAATGCATTTTTAATTGAAATTTTTGATCCGGCTGCATTAAATAGTGACCCAGGAATTGAAATAGAACTAGCACCTAAAAAACCCTGGAAAAAGAAAACTAATATAAATCTATCTGTAGGCAGAATATCAATACCAGTATATGTAAGCTCGTTATTGGTTATAGAAAAAATATAGACTACCTGGCCCATTTTGTTTGAATCGCTAAATATTAATAGAGATTTATTTGATTCTTTTATAATTTGATTTTCAGAAATTAATTTTAAAAGATTCTCTCCTATCCTATTGGCCAAAATAGGTTTTGAACTTGATAAACCATTATATATAAAATTGCCACCTAAGTTTAACAAACCAGGGAAATAGGAAAAAGGATCAATAATGGTTGAATAAAGAGGAGTAAAATTTATGGTGGTGGACTCGAAGGTGATGGTTCCCCCTTTTAAAATGATAATTCCTCCAATGAATAATAGATCCTGTGATACTACTAAAGAGCCCTCGATACATATAAACTCGAATCCATTACCAATCGAATTACTAAATCCCTTTGCTGTAACTATTGTATCTAAAAAATGGAAATTAATAAATAAAATTGTTTAATATAAAGGTTATAATATACATACCTTTTTTTATAAATATGCTGCCACCGGGATTAATATCTTCGAAACTATATAAATTAAACATTTCTGGATTGAAAAGACCACTTTTATTATTTTTTATTATTGAGGATCTATTGCATATATTTGGGTAATATGAATAATGTAAATCCAAATCCTCAATTGGTTCTAATGGTCCATTTGGAGACTCTAAAAAAATATTAACCTTGGATGCATTGTAATAATTTCCGATTTTTTCTGGTATTTCAATATCAATCGCTAAAAAAAAAAAATTAATCACCAATTTATTAAAAATTTTAGTTGTATTGAATAATTACCTTTGTTATAAGGAAAAAATAAAAATAAAAAGATAAAGATAAAAAGCTGGGTTATGTGGTTCATTTTGTATGCCTGATTATAAAAAATTAAAAAATAAAAAATAAAAATAAAAAAGTTATGTAAAATTTAAAAAAAATTTTTAAAAAAATTATTTTTTTTTTAAAAAAAAAAGATTTATTTATTTAAATAATTTATATCTATTTTAAATAATTTTTTTATATAATATTACAAACTTTGGAACTTTAAAAACCATTAAAAAATTTTATTATAATCACAAAAATGAATTTTAAAAATGAATTTTAAAAATGAATTTTAAAAATGAATTTTATAAAAGATTTTATAAAAGATTTTAAAAATTAACATTTAATTAATATTTTTAAGTTTTATAAAAAACTTTAATAATTATTCGTTCGTTTTTTCCTAAAACTATATTGGATTAAATCGAAAAAAGCTAAAAGATTTTTTTTGTTTTTCCAAATCCCTACCCAAATTTCATAAAGACGAAAGTTTGAAACGAAAATATAAATAGAAAAAAAAACGATAAACCAAAAATGCAATTGTATTCAAAAAAATGAAACTTTTACTAAATTTTATTATTTTAATTTTTTGTAAGTTAAAGTTAAGATAAATATTTTTTTTAATTTTTTTTTTTATATTTTTGAAATTTTTTTTTTTAATTTTTTCAAATTTCTAATTTTAATTTTAATTTACAGCAATAATACAAATAAATGGGCAACTATCATCCTTTTCATTAGATTTAAATACAAGAGTTAATATAAATGGTCATCCTCATTTTAAATTAGATTATTTTCCAGGAACAACAAATACAAATTATAAAGGAAATTTTATTCCAGATGTAGAAACAAATACAGCAGTCAAAAAATTTACATTTACTCAAAGTTGCACAGTCACTATAACAACTAATTTTATTACAAATGGTTTTCTTTCACCAGCCCCAACATCTGCAGAGTTTGTACCAGCAGGTGCTACATTTATTGATGCCAATTCAGCCTTAATTATTCCACATGGCATCACTGTTACATTTTCTGGTACAAGTGCTGGTCTTTTCCCAGCTGTTATTGTTAAAGGTAAAATTGTCCTTAATCCATCTGTAGCCACATCATATAGTGCAATGAAAACAATTATTATGCCAGGTGGTACTTTTGAATCCATTCCAACTCCAACTGCAAGTGAAACAGCCTCATATAATCATACATTAAGATTTGGTGCACAAGTTGATTCAACTACCTTTCCATCATGGGACCCAATGCAAACCAATGCATTAATTTGCCTTGGTTGTACATTTAGAACTCAAGGTGCAGTATCCACTCCAGTTTGGTTCGGTAATAACGCAACTACCTATCCATTATCATATGGTGGTAAATTTTTAAGAGACTCAACTTTCACAGATGCTACACCAGTCGCAAAAATGGTTGGATCAGTTTCAGGAAATGTATTATCATATACTCTCAACAGATCTTTCAATACTCTTGTCAATATTGGTTCAACAATTTTAGATGCCGCTGGCGATTTTACAGGTGCTGGTTATCTTTTCACTCGTACTTATTCAAGAAATGTTGTTTTCTTGGGTACATATAGATCATCACTTATGTTTACTGGTAATTCTACAGTAGATATTCAAAACTCAATGTTTACAGATGTTGGTCATACCACCACCAGTCCATTCAGTGAAACTGTATTAGATTCATCATATCAAGTCACATCAACTGGTACAAATCCATCAGATAGATACCCAATTACTTTATTACACAATACTGTCGCTGTTAATATTCAAAATAACGTATTCATTCCAAGTGGTGTTTTTGGACAAGGTTATAACCCAAGAACAATGATCGGTGCTAAAAGATCATTTGGTACAATTAAAAACAATTCATTTTTATTATTTGGCGGTACAAGTGGTATTTCACTTTTACACGGTACTGAACAATTCGATATTAGTCACAATTGTTTTATTTCAACCTATTCCGATACAACTAATATTAATACTGCCACATCATTTAGAGAATATCCAGATATCAACTATCTTAATGGTGGTATTATTACAACATCACCATATTCAACTTATAACAACAATGCATTCGAAGGTATTTTCAAAGGTGGTGCTATTCAAGCTATTCCAATTCAAAATAGAGCTACAACATTTGGTTTCACATCTGAATATATTGCTGGATCATCAACATTACTTCAAAATAATGTCGATTATAAATCTAATAACGTATGGAATAACCTTGTTTTTACAAATAATTTCTTTGCTGGTGAAACTGAAGTAAGATTCTATTATCCAACAACATTACAACCACCATTATCAGTAAGATTCTTAGGTGGCTGGTTTATTAATCACAGAGCATCAACAACCTTATCTGCCAATGTTGCCAATGTCGAATTAATATTTGATTCATCAATTATTCAAGGTACTTTATCAAAGAATGACGCCTACACTGGTTTATCTTTTACATACCTCATTTCAAATTCACTTAGAGGTACCTACAATAGTGTTTCATTAAAAAATGTATATTCACCATCTTCATATCAATTCTTTTCATCAACATTCCAATCTAAATATTTATCAATTATCAATTCAATTTTTGCACATTCCAACACTGCATCAGATACTTTCTTATCTGGATTTTCATCTCAAACATATTTCGAAAACTTAAACTCAACTAAACTATATGTTAGCGGTTCAGTTTCTTCATTCTCCCCATTTTATGGATTTTCGATTTCATCAACTACCAATGAAGTTGGTGCAATTCCAAACTTTGATAGTTCTTGGGGTTCAGGTCAAACAGTTAAACTTTCTACAAATAATGTTGCTCAATTAACCTCCAATATTTATACTCCACCATATATTAAATATATTACACCAGTTACCCAAACACCAACACCACCATCATCAGGTCAATTCCCAGTTGTTGCCTCTTCTGCTGCTTCCACTACTGCTTATGGTGGCTCATACTTTGCTACTACACTTAAATTAAATGCTGGTAGTCTTAACTTTTATCTTGGTATCAATTTAACACCAGATGTATCAGACACATCAAGAGCTTTATCAATCTTTGGTAAATCATGGACTAAATGTGGATGGATCAATTCAATTTGCTCAACAACCGGTACATTGTCTAAAGTTGCAACCACTCCAACATCAATCCAAGGTACTGCTGCTGATGTTATTACTGCCGTCGATGAACTTTCAATGTTGTCATCATATCTTATTAACACTGTTAGTACATCTGTAAACAGTGTTGTTAATGTTGTTCTTCCAGCAAGCTCAATGTTCAGATTTTACATTTATACCTATAATCCATCCTATACTAGTGATACTGTTAATGCACTCCCAAGATACGGTATTAAAGTTAATGGCAAATATCAAGAACCATTCACTCAATCAATGTCTCCATATCAAAAATATCAAAAAATTGGTCCATTTTATTGGAACAACGATTTAACCACCACTCAAGCACTCTCTATCGAATGGGCATACGATAATCTCAAATTTGAAATTCCAATTTGTGGTATTGAAATTTACTCAAGTATCTCAACTCCATATACTATTCCAGTCGGTACAAGTGGTGCCGAATATACTCCAGGCGAAACAATTGCTAGCGATAATGAAGAAAACGAACATTCTAATTCCTCTGCCCCATCATTAAATAATCACTACACCTTTATAATATTAGGTTTATTAATATTATTTATTCAAATATAATTATAAATTATATTTTTATAATTTCTGTATATAAAAAACGATCAATACCATTGCCGACTTTGGTACTATTAAAAAAACACGCGCCAAATATAAATAAATAAATTTATAAAATATCATAATTCCTTTTACTTTAAACAATTTTATTTATATTCAAAATAATAATATTTAAAATACCTACTCAAACATTTATTTTTATTAATTTTTTAAATTTTCTAAAAGATATTTTACTCCAGGAGAAACAATTCCTAGTTATAATTAAGAAAACTAATATTCTGACCCATCCGATACCTCAGCATTAAATAATTGCCGACTGTGGTACTATTAAAAAAATGGGCCAAATATATATAAATAAATTTATAAAATATCATAATTCCTTTTACTTTAAACAATAAACAATATTATAATATTGTTTATTGTTTATTTATTATATTTATTAAATATTATTTACATTTATTTATTTTAATTTTTTAAATTTTCTAAAAGATATTTTTTATTTGGAAAAGCTATTTCGAAAACATCTTTATATTCTTTTGCATATTTTACATCTATTCCATTTTTAATATAATCTGGTAACTCTTCGAAACTAGTTTGATTATTTGTTGGAATTATAATTGATTTTAAACCTGATCTTTTAGCGGCAATAGTTTTTTCTTTTACACCTCCTATAGTAATAACTTTACCAGTAATTGTTAACTCCCCAGTCATTCCCAAATCATTAAGTACGGGTTCGTTTAGGGCAAGAGAGAGCAAAGATGTTGCCATAGTAACACCAGCTGATGGTCCCTCTTTGGCCTGATCACCTTGTGGAGAATGCAAGTGGATACTGTGGGTATGGAAGAATGTATTCTTTGGATCGAGGGTATATAAAAAGTTTTTAGCAAATGTATAAGCAATTGTTGATGATTCTGACATGACCTCACCCAATTTACCGGTTGTTTTAAGAGAAGGCTCTTTAGGTGGACCTGATAACGAACTTACGAGCTTTTCTGCAGTACTTTCAATGTATAATGTTGAGCCACCTCTTGTATTATAAGCCAAACCATTAACAACACCCACTGGTGTTGTTTCATAGTATCTATCTGATGTGTATGATGGAATACCTAAAAACTCCTCTACATTCTCTGTAGTTAACTCAACTTTTTCGGCTGTACCATTAACAATACCTAAAGCAGTCTTTCGCATAATCTTTTCAACGAGTTTTTCTAATTCACGAATACCAACTTCTCTACTATAAAACTTGACCAATTGTTTAATTACCTCGTCTGAAATTGTTAGTTGATCGGGTTTGATACCACACTCAATAAGAGTCTTTGGGATGATAAAGTTCTTTACGATTTGGAACTGCTCTTCTTCAACATAACCAGTTAAATGAATGATTTCCATACGATCGAATAAAGCCATTGGTATATTTTTTTCAGAGTTTGCTGTGCAAATGAACAAAACTTTTGAGAAATCATATGTTGTATCTAAATAATGGTCTACAAAACTAGAGTTTTGTTCTGGATCCAAAACTTCCAAAAGAGCAGATGATGGATCACCAAGAGTTCTTTTACCAATCTTATCAATTTCATCGATTAGAATTACTGGATTTGATGTTTGAGTTAACTTCATTGCTTGAATAATTTTACCTGGCATAGCACCTATATATGTTCTTCTATGACCTTTAATTTCACTTTCGTCGACCAACCCACCAACTGAGAATCTATAAAACTCTTTCTTTAAACATTTGGCAATTGATTTAGCAATTGAAGTTTTACCAGTACCAGGTGGTCCTATAAAACAAATGATTTTACCTTGAACGGAACCCTTTAAATGTCCAATTGAAATAAACTCTAAAATTCTTTGTTTAATATCATTTAATCCATAATGATCACTATCTAAAACATCCTTTGAATATTTGAGATCAAAAAACTCTGGTGTAAAAACCCCCCAAGGTAAATTTAATAACCACTCTAAATAATTTTTAGAAAGACTATATTCTGCAGAAAGTGGATCAATTGTTGAAAATTTACTCTATAAAAATTAATAGAAAAAAGTTAATAAGTATATTAAAAAAATAAAATAAAAAATAAATTAATAATTACAATTTCTTCCTGAATAACCTTTTTATTTGCCTCTGGAATATGTACTAAACTAGCCAATTTGCTGTTATATTTTTCTATTGCTCTTTCTTTTTCGTCAGCTTCATGACCTAATAATTGTTTTGTTTTTTTTAATTGTTCAAGTAAAAATATTCTTTTTTGAGCTGCTGATGCTGTTTCACCTGATTCTCTAAATAATAAATAGTGTTAAATTAGTGTTTATTTTTTAATTAAAAAAATAATAAAATTAACTATTTACTCTGAAATTTCTTGTTGCTTTTTAAACGACTTTTCTTCTTTTACAATCAAGTCATAAAGCTTTTCTAATCTTTTAATAATTGATCGAGTTTCTAAAATTTCTTGAAATTCGTCAGGATCATTTAAACCATAATAATTTATAATTGAAGTGAAATATAATTCTGGGTCTTCATTGGTTTGAATTTGAGTTTTAAAATCAATAACTTGTCTACCTTTGTAAATATCTGGATACAACTCTTGAATCTTTAATACCAATTGATTAATTTTTTCAACAGTTTCTTTAACTCTTGGGTCATTATATTCCTCTGGGTCACAGTCGAATGGTTCAATAGTTGCGACCTGTGGATCGTTTGGATTTTGAACAGGATGTAATTCTTTAATTCTGATTCTTTTAGTTGTTTCAAATTCATAGTTTCTGCCATTGTAAGTAATTTGAGCTAATGCGCCAACTGACTTTTCACCTAGACCATTGAATGGTTGATTAATTGGTTGATTCTTTGCATAAAAAACACCTATAAAACTTTTTCCCCCTGAATTTGGTATAAGTTTACTAATATAAACATTCATTAAATTGAGATTTCCTGTTGCACCTTTAAAACAAAATAAAGTTGTTGGATATATTAATACCTCATTATTAATTGGCCAATCTTTTCCTAATATTGAAAAAGAAAAAAAAGTATTAATAACTATTCTGTATCGTATTTTAAATACCAATAAATGTATATTTACTTTGATTTGATTTATTTTCAAATTTAAAGAGTTCTGCTGATAATGATTCGACATTATCCTCATTTGATTTATTTTTTTTACAATAATTTAATTTTTGTTGTTTTAAACCATTATTTTCGTTAAATAAACAAATTTTTGATTTATTATTATTTTGAAAACTATTTAGATTAAATATATTTTTATTGTTGTTCAACCTATTATATACATTTGATTTTATTAATATTGATGTGGGTCCTTTAATACTTTTAATTTTATTTGTTAAAGATAACATTAATATTGATTTTTATTATAAATATTTAATTATTTATTTGTTTATTTATTTGTTTGTGTGAGTGTTAAATAGTTGAAAGTGATGATGAACTAATTTTTTTTCATTAATTTTTAAAATTAAAAAAAAAAAAAAATTAAAAAAAATTAAAAATAATTAAAATTTTTTTTTTTTTTTCAAATTTTAATTTAAAATTTTTTTGTAATTTTACTTTCCTTTAATATAAATATATAATAATAACTAAATGGAAACACTTAATTCATTCCCAAGACTAACAAAAACAGTTGCAGGGGTTTTAAGTTTTTTTTTAATTCTAAATTTATTATTTAGACCAATTTCCTTTTTTACAATTAATGTTGCATAGTAAGATATTAATTTTATACAATGAAAAAAATAAATAAAAAAAAAAAATAAAAAAAAAAATTAATCAATCAAATTTAATAATTTGATTATTAATCATTATTTTTAAAATATAATTATAGTATAGCACCACCATACTTTTTTGTATGGACCTTATTCACAGCAGGTCTTTACGATACAAATTTTTTAAATGTAAATATAAATTCCTAATAAAGTTATCGGTATATAATAAAAAATTCTAACCATGATCTATACAATTTTATTTATTAAACCAGGGTATAATTAATATTATTCTTTTATTATATATTGGCAAACATTTAGAACCCATTTGGGGTTCTAAAGAATTTATCAAATTCATAGCAATTGTAAATTTCTTTTCAGGTGTTTGTTCTTTCTTTTTCTTTATTTTCCTTTATATATTTTCAAATGTTTTTTATGCGTAGGTATCAACAACAACTATATATTATATAAACAGCAATATAATATACTAATATTTTATTTAAAGATACGAAACCAATGTTTGCGGATTTTCAGGTGTTATTATTGGATTTTCAGTAGCAGCAAAACAATTAATACCAGAACAAGAGTTAGCATTATTATTTTTAAAAGTTAGAGCAAAATGGTTACCAAGTATTTTTATTCTCATAAGATTAGTTTTATTTTTATTTGTTGGATTCAGTGATAAGTCTTTCACTTTAGTTTTATTTGGTGTTTTAGTAGCCTGGGTTTATTTAAGATTCTACCAACTTAAAGGTGGTGTTAAAGGAGATTTAAACGAATCATTCTCATTTGCAACCTTTTTCCCCGAGCCAATTCAGTAAATATAAATATATTTATATAATATATTATTTAAAAAAAATACTAATACCTATTTTTATTTCTATTTATTACAGGCCACCAATTAAAACATTTTCAAATATTGTATTTAAAATTCTATGTAAATTTTCCATTTGTGAAAATAGATCAATATTACCAACTACACAAAACTCTAGTTTTTCAAACGATCAAAATAACTTAAACTATAGTGCTGCTGATATGGACAGAAGAAGAGCATTAGCTGTAAAAGCATTAGAACAAAGAATGCAACAACAACAACACCACCCACAAGCACAACCACAACAACCTATGCTACCACAACAACCCCAAACACCCCAAAACAATACTAATGATGAAGATATAAAATAAAGATTTTTTTTTAAACACTATTTTTAATATTATTTAATTACTTTTTATTTTTTATTTTTTTAATGATATTCTATATTTAATACTATATAAGTTGTTTACAAATTTAAAATAAATAATATCTTTATTTCTTTTTTTTCAATAATTTTTAATTTTTTTTTTTTTAGCTTTTTTTTTTTATTTGTTGATATGATTGTGATTTTTAATATATTTACTATTATGTAAATATAAATTTTGATATATTTAATATTACTATTATTATTTACTATAATTATTATTATTTTATAATAATTTGAAAAAGTTTTATATTTTTTTATGTTACCGATTTTTTTTTTTTTTTATGTATAAATTTTTCTTACTTCGGTATTATCTAAAATCCATTTAATTGAATCCTCCACACCAACTATATTACTATTTAAAATACTAGAGGAAATACATTTCCAAGGTATCGTTAATCTGTACAATTCTAAATAGTTTTCTAATTGTTGAGGTGTTACGGATCTCTTTTGATCTTGTTTATTTGCCATCACCAAGAATACACTGCTACTAATACAATCTTCTGCTATTAATAAATCGATTTGACTTTTTGCCTCTGATATTTGATGAGGATCCGATGAATCAACCATAAATATTATAACATCACACCCCAATAAGTATGGCTTATATTTGGTAATATAATTTGGATAAAGCAAATCACCTATGAAAATCTCCCATCCTTTAAATAACATTGATTCAATTGAAAGACCTGTAGACACCAGCACTGATCTTATTTGTTTTTTCGCCGATGCATCTATAAATTTATTTAATAATGTTGTCTAAATAAAAAATATATAAAAAATATAAAAAAAATAAAAAAATATATTAATATTTTAATTCTGTTTGCCCTTTTAAAATATTTCTGTTAATTTACTTTTCCAGAATTTTCTAAACCAATTATACCAAGCTTAATTAATGTGCCTGATGGTAACTGAGGTAGGTATCCTTTCGAGAAAACTCCTCCCATTGTAATTTTAAATTTCCATTAATTACTAATTTGAAAAAAAACTTTTTTTTTTTTTTTTTTTTTTTTTTTTTATTTTTTATTTTTATTTTTATTTATGTTTTAAATTATTGTTTCAAAAATTGGTTTTTGATTTGTTTTTCAATTAATCTATATATTTATATTCTTGTTAATTTTTATTATTATAAATTTTTATACACACAAAAAATATAAATTAAAAAATTTAAAAAAAAAAAACAAAAAAACAAAAAAAATTTTAAAAAATTTAAAAAAAAAAAAAAATTAAAAAAAATACAAAAAAAAAAAATAATATATCTTTTTTTGAATTGTTTAAAAACATAACAAATCAATATATTATGTGTTAAAATCCTGAAAATGAATTATAAAAAAGAAAATAAGAATTGGTGAATATTTATTTTAAAAAGGAATTATTATATACATATAAACTTATTCCTTATTTATACAAATTCAATTTCAGAAAATAAAAAAATAAAAAATAAAAAAATAAAAAAATATAAAAATAAAAAAATATAATAAAGAATGATATTTCATTACTAAATTACAAATATAAAAACAATTAAATAAAAACAAATAAAAAAAAATAAACAATATGATAAAATAAAAAAAAATTATAAAAAAAAATTTTTTTAAAAAAAAATTAAAAAAATTAAAAAAAATTAACAAAACTTTTATAATTAGATTTTTGATTACGAAAACTGATATAAATTTGTATGGCGCGAGTGGCCTAAGCGGAAGGTTTGCATATTTAAAAATAAAAAAAATAAAATTAAAAAATGAGAAAAAAAAAAATAAAAAAAGGGCGAGTGCAACCTAAAATCATGAATTAAAACCAGATTTTAGTTTTTTTTTTTTTTTTTGAACTTTTTAAATATCAATTTTTTTTTTTTTGAAATAGTTGGTACTATGCACTATCACCCATTTTTTTCGAAAATGGGGAAAACCAATTTAGATTCATAAAAAAAAAAGCTTTGCCGAAATGTTTTTTTTTTTTTTTTTTTTAATATTTTATTTTTTATTTATTATCATGTATTTTCATTATTATCGTTACTATCATTACATATAATAAATTAATTTTTATTATATGCCAATCATATTAGGAATCATATCATATTTCAAAAATCAAAATCATAATTTTTTTTTATTAATAAAAAAAAGAAAAAAAAGCGCCTTGTGTGCGCATAGTTTTTTTTCAAAAAAATAAAAATAAAAACTATAATTTTCAAAAATAAAAATAAAAATTTTTGACAAAATTTTTGCCAAAGAAGTTGGGTAGAAATTTGGATAAGCATAAAAAATCAATTAAAATGAAGACTAGATCTGATCGATAATTGGATAACCCATTTAATATCTTTTTCAAAATGGAGGCTACGTGCATTTTTTGGTGATATTTGCAAGTTTCTTTAATTTGTTTATTTGAAAAAGTGAAAAAAATGTATTCCATCATGCTCTTTTTTTTTTTTCGTGCATTTTAAAATCCAAAATAGAAGGAACTGATTTTTCTTTCAAACTTTTGAAAACAAATACAAATTTTATTGGTTTATAATGATTACATTTGCATTTGATTTTTGGTTTTTTTGGGTTTTTTCTTTTTTTTTTAAAAATTTTTTTTTGAACACAGTGTTTTCTTGTAACAAATTACATCAATAATACTCCAAACACATCATTTTTTTTTTTTTCAAAAATACGTTTATTTATTTATTTTATTTTATTTAATTTTTTTTTTTTTTTTTTTTTTTTTTTTTTTTTTTCCTTAATTCCCCCCGCCCATTACCCCTTTTTTTTAAAAAATATTTTTCTTTTTTTTTTCAAAAACCCTTTTAAAAAAAAATAAAAATAAAAAAAAAAAAATAAAATAGAAAAAAAAGAAAAATCTTGTTAAACAGAAGATTCCCAAGCCACACACAAATTTAAAAGTCAAAAGAAACTACTTGCGATTGGTTGGGGCAAAAGGAAAAATTTGGATAATTGTTTTTATTTGAATTCAAATAAAAACAAGGTTAACTTTATTCACAATCAAAGCATATTGTAGATATTTTTCTATCAAAGCTATTGGGTGAATTGTTACCTCCTTTTCATTGTTTTTTTCAATTTTATTTTATTTAATTTTTCTTTTATTTTTTTATTTTTTTATTTTTTTTTTTTATTTAACACAACTATTTTTTTTTTTTTTTTCATTCATTTTTTCTTCGCCACGGAAAAAAAAACTCACAGTAAATTTATTTATCCTACCCACACACAATTCACACATATTTTTTTTAAAAATCCTTAACGATACACACAAAAAAAAAAAAAAAAAAAAAAAAAGTTGATTCAGTAATTTAAATCTTCTATAATTACAACTAGATAATATTATTTGTATTTATTTAGTTTTCAGAAAAAAATGAATACTAATACTAATAATAATAATAATAATAATAATAATAATAATAATAATAATAATAATAACAATAACAATAACAATATTAATATTAATAATGTTGATGGCTATAATAATACTTTAGATGTTATTTACAACAAAATTGGTTATCATGCGCCATTCGATTTAAACCTTCCCATAAATACTAGAAGCGATTTTCCTCAAGGGCTAAGAAAATTTAAAATCAACTTTAATCCAAATAAATATAAGGTTTACCACCCTAAAGTTATTAACATTCATTTAAAGTTTGCCCACTACAACGATTACATTAGTGCTAATGATGCTGTTAATCATTGCTTCGTAATTTACAAAGATCTCATCTATAATCATTACGATCAGTTTAAACCTATCGTCTCTTTCCCATTGGTCTACGAATCAAATTACTCATCAAATAGATTAAAGGTAGCCGAGTACCTCGAGAAAACAGCCTTTCCATATATCACTCCTAGAATTCTTAGCCATTCTTGTTTCCAACACTACATTTTTGATGTTATACCATATGCCGAAGCCGTCAATATTTGGAATTTATTTCTTTCAAGTCCATCCATTGCTGTTAGGATTTTTGGTGTTTTTGAAATGTTCACCTTTTATTTACAAAAAGATAGAAACTTATCTTTTAGAGGTAGACAATTTCAAACAGCCATCATTAAAATATTCTTTGATTCCAGTCCATTGGTAAGCTATCATAATTCTTTTATATTTCCATTTTATTTTTTTTTTCCCAAAAAACATACTAATGATTATACATTTATATTTATTATTTATAGGTTTTCGAAACTATCCAATTTTTAGTTACAGAAGCCAAAGAAATAATCGATATTATTTTTAACTGTAAAAAGGTAGCTATTTTTTTTTTTTTTTTTTTTTTTTTTTTTTTTTTTTTTTTTTTTTTTTTTTTTTTTTTTTTTTTTATTTTTCATTTTAGTTTTAAAATTTTTTTATAAATATTAATATTATTTTTATTTTGCCTATAGCTAAACCAATCCAACTTAAACCAGTTGGAAGAAAGATTATATTATTTAGGTTCTAGACCACTTGAAGAAATGGAAAAAGCAACAGCTGGGTTGGAAATTAAAACTCAAGGTCAATTCCTTTTTGCTTTGGCTTTAAAAAGAATCTATCCAAAGGACATTCGTGCTTTAGATAAAGTATTCACCAAATTCTTTTTGTAATTATTTAAATTATTTATAAAAATTCATCAATATAATTATTAATTATTAATTAATATTTTTTTTTTTTTAATAAACAAAGCTCTCAAGTTGCAAAAAAAGAATCAATAATTGAAGACGGTATATATTTGATCAAAATTAACACCCTCGATGATAGTAAACTCGACGATGACTATTATAGATTTATTGGGGAAATACCAGGAACAATAGGAGAAACAGCGTCTCAAAGAGGTTTTATTAAAATCCTTGACAGATATGTTTTATTAAAAATTATTTCATTCCTACTCATAAGAGGAGATAGTTTTTTTGATACTCTATATACTCTTTCATTAGTTTCAAAACAATTCTTTGATTTGGTTCAAGTATTTTTAAGTAGAGATACCGACAAATTATTCAAATTTTTCTTTAAAAAACAGGAATTTGAAATCCCTGAAACAAACTATTCAATTTTTAACCACTTAAAGATCCTTTCAGCTTCCTATGACCACCTTGTTAGATATACTCCATTCTCTCTTATCTATAAAGTTTTTAATTGTTTAGAAAAGTTGAAAATAGATGCCAACTCAGGTACTCCCTTAAATGGTGTCTCTTTAACAACCAATCGTTTAATCTTTCCAACTGGCTTAGCAAATTTAAATGAATTAAAGATCTTAAATCATTCTCATTTCGGTACTAGAGTTGGTGTTTTCAAGAATCTTATCGACTTTATTTTAATCCACTCCAATTGCAAAATTAAAATTTTCAAGTATCATTCAACATTAGAAACATTCCACTTTGATTTTTCAGTATTATTCCATTTGGCAATTAATCACGCTTCAACACTCGAAACGATTGTATTAAAATTTAAGGAATCATCTATGGAAATTGAAGACACCCAAATTCCATACACTTATGCACTCCAGTTAATTCAATTTATGTGTCCAAAAGTAGAAATTAAAATTTGGAAACGTCCAAAAAAATTCAAAATATTCAGGGCTGGCCAATCTATCCCCTCTTTATTGGATAGAAATGCATTCCAATTATACCAATTATCACACTTTAAAAATTTCATCCAAAAAGATTTTAGTTTCCAAGAATTTACTGGTGGAGAAGAACTTGGTTCATTAGAAAGTTATAGAATGCAACGTTATGAATATCACTATAACTTATTTACAACCATTCAAAATATAAAAAATAGAAGAAAATCAATCAATGGAGATACATTCCACGAAAGTGATTATGTTTCAACAAGACTTCACCACTATTATTTCTATGGACCATTTTTGGTCGGTATTCCAATGGATACCAATTATTTTAATAATCAAATTAATCAATACCACCATGAAAATTTCAATTATTTTAATAATAATAATAATAATAATAATAATAATAATAATAATAATAATAATAGTAGTAGTAGTTATAACAACCTTAATAATTATAATAACAATAATAATGGTTTAGAATATATTCAAAAAACTACTCAAGGAGTTAAAGAAAGATTATTAAAAAATGGTAATCATTTAGAAATAAACCTCAACAAGAAATTTTATTTACTTTGCGATCGTCACACACAAGGAAAATTTCCAAATTCAAATATTCAAGACAAAGGTGTTTTTTATGTTGAGAACCATATCCATGCAGAAAATATAACCCAAACAGCAACACAACCAGATATTAATTTCGATACAGGCGCCCCAGTCGAACGTTCCCATCTAAATATTAGATGCAGCCAAAATTCATTTTTTTATTATATGTATCATTTCAATTTATCTCCCAGAGAAGTTCCAACTTCTATTACCTTAAATTTACCATTATCCAACAATCGTAGGATATTAAATCTTACTTTCTCGTTAACTCCAAAAAATAAAAAAGTTAGAAAAAATAATATTTGTCAAGAAATATAATATCAAGAAGAATAATCCCAGGTTAAATCATCAACATTCCTCACACTTTTGCTCTAAAAAAAAGTATACCCCAAAAAAAAAAAAAAAAAATATAAAAAAAAAAAAAAAAAAAAAGCGTTCATAATAATATATATAAAATAAATAAATAAATAAATAAATAAATAAATAAATAAATAAAGTTTTTAAAAAAAAAATCTATATCTTTCTTTTTTTTATTTTTTTAGGTGGAATTTTATTTTATTTTTTTTAAAATTATTTTTTTATTTTTTTATTTTTTTTTTTTTTAAAATATTTTTTAATTTTTTTTTTAAATCCTTAATAATATTATTTTTTATACACAAATTATTTGTTTTGTTTTTTTGTTTTTTTGTTTTTTTTTCCAATTATATATATAATATTAAATAATAAACTAAAATAATAAAAAAAGAAATCATTTAATAATGGAAGGAACATTACCAGTATTTGATAATTATTGTTTTTATGTACATCGTTTAAAAACAAGATCCAAATTAAATTATAAAGCAAAATTAGTAGAGATTGCAAAAGAATTACAAAACCCATTTATTATTAGTTTAGGAAAGGATATTAGTGATTGTTCAGATAAAATCGACGACTATTTCTTTTCAACTAAAGCAAGAGATTTATTAAATTGTAAGAAATAGTTGGATATACAGCCAGCTCTGTGTATTAGTAATATAAATAAAACCTAATAGAAATCATTTATTAACCCTTTAATTCAAATATAATTTAGTGGATACAAATGAATTAATACAAGCAGTCGAGGGTTATATGGGATGTTTAGGTGGAATTATAGGTTCAAAAGTTTATATACCAACCGTTTCAGAAAATGATATTAATAATCAATTAGAAAATGTAGAATTAAATGAAGAGGGTCAAGAATGTAATAATAAAAATAAAGGTAGTGATATCATAAGAAAGAATTTAAGATTTAGTTGGACAACAGTGTTTGGTACAGATAGATCCATTACATCAAGTGATGCAATTGTCGAATATGCAAGTATATTATTTAATCTTGGTATTTGGTATCTTGGTTACTCTGATTTTATTGTTTCAAATCGTTCTTCCCCAACTGAGGGTTTAGTAGAAACAGATAGACAAGTCGTATATGATTTCTTATTAAAGGGTGCTGGCATATTTGACTATATTCGTACTAAATTAAGACCATTTTTATCATCCTCATCATCAAAGAGTAAACAAAGTGAAGAAAAAACAGCAGGAAGTGCTGATGAAGATGGTGATCAACAACAAGAAAGAACAGATACTATCAATGAAGGAAGTGATAAAGCATCAACTGATTTTAGTGATGTTATGTTAAAGGTTTTATATTTACAATGCATTGGTCAAGCTCAAGAGCTTACCATTGGTCGTGCATACAAAAAGAATACCATCCAACCAATCGTAAAATTATCAGTAGAAATTGTAAACATGTATAAGGAAGCAAAAGATTTATTAATCTCTCATTTTAGTGAAGATAAACTTGCAGAAAATCGTGTAGAGAAATTTGTAAATTTTTTCATGTATAAAATCTCACTTTATCAAGCATTAGCTCTTAACCAACAGGCATTCCAACAAAATGCAGCACATAAATATGGTGAATCGATTGCAACCGCTAAAAAGGCTCAACATCAATTAAAACAAACCTTATTCCTCATCAGACCATGTGTTTCAATTACATTACCACAAACATCACTTCAAAGACCAACCAATCAATTATCACCAATTGTTGATGCAACTTTAGCTCGTTTAGAAAGAGAAAACACTATTATAGGTTATGAAGTTGTACCATCTATTGATGAAGTTTCAGAACTCCCACAAGAAGGTACCAGACTTGCAAAATCTCGTCCATTAAATATACCAAATGTTCATAACTCTTGGTCCAATATTGATATACCCTCAGTTTTTAATAAAGATAAAATATTACAAGAAAGTGATTTACCATCAGTTATTGTAAAATAAAATTTTTTAATATAAATTAATACAAAATAAATAATTATAAATAAATTTTTTTTTAAAAAAAGAAAAGAAAGCAGAACCAATTAAATAATTATTATTATATTATTTATAGAAACCTAGTTAAAACCATTATAGTTATTTTGATGATTCACATACCCAAAGGTTTTAAAAAAAAAAACTTTTTTAACAAATAAGAGAAACTTGAAGAAAAAAAAAAAAAAAAAAAAATATTTAAATTGAATAATAAAATAGTATTTTATTTATTGTTGTTTGTAATAATTTGAAAGAATCCAATCGATTTGTGGTATAAAGGTTGAGTCTGTGCATACTTTATTTTTATTAATTATTTCTGTACCGAAATGACCACCATGTATTTTGGTAACTGCAGTTGGATAAATATTATTGCCATTTTCATCAATGATTTCAACTGGTAAGTATGAATAGGGTATAAATATATTCAAATAGGTATTATAGGTGTTGAAGCTAATAAATTCGGAAAAGGCAATATTTAACTTGTAACCGGGTGTTGATAGATTTTTAATAAACAATTCTATGTAATATGAATTCTTTTCGTACCAATTGTAGAGATTTGCTATTTCGAGTGGTTTCTTATCCTGTGGTATATCTGTGTTTGATTCTATAAGTTGCGATAATTTTTCATAAATTAACTGGATGTGGTTTTTAATGGACTCATAGTCTTGAAGTTTGCCAGTTAATGTTATTTTTGTATCTAATATTGAATTATCTAAAAATAATTCTGAATTTCTATTTGAATATAGTGGTTTATAGGTTTTTCCTAAAGTGTTTATTAAAAATATTAAATTATCCTTGGTGTTTGGGTGCGAAAAGTTTGGGAATAATAAAGTTGAAAATGAGGGATCTAAATATCTTGAAAGTTCTTTAGTTAATACACTCTCTGCACCTGATGCTGAAAAATTAGATAATGTTGAGTTTTTTAATATAATCGGTTGATTATAACTCCTTGTTGAAACCAATCCTGAAACATTAATGTTTTTTTGCAAACCAGATAAAATCAAGTTCCAAATAGTTTCGGGTGAATAATGAAAAATATTTAAACCTTCTTTTTCAGAAAAAGGGGTTTTCTGATTAAAAAATCTTTCACTTGCATCATAACTACCAAACAAAATGTCTCTTTTTCCTTCTCCAATATTACCCAAGGGTGTATCTAAAACTAAAAAGTTTATTTTTTCTAATGCTTTTGGATAATTTAAGTAATTATATTGTTGATTATTTTTGTAATAAGGTGCATTATTATTATTACTATCACTATCATTATTATTATCACTATTATTTGAAGTTCTATTATAATTTTTTAAAACTAAAATAAAAATAAATATCATAAAAATTAATGTTATTTTATTCATTTTTTGAGAATATTCTAATATATATATGTATTTTTTTTTATTGGTTTAAGATAAATAACTATTTATACTATTTTTTTTAAACTGAAAGGTGACGCATCGATATTTTATGAGTCAATGAAAAAAAAACAGTCAATATTACTTTTTATAACAAACATATAATGTTTTATTTTATTTTATTTTTTAAACTGAAAGGTGACGCACCGATATTTTATGAGTCACCGAAAGAAAAACAGCATTATTAATTTTTATAACAAAAATATAACATTTAATTTTATTTTATTTTTTTGAAAATTTTTTTTTATTTTTATTTTTTTTTTATTTTTTTTTATTTTTTTTAAAAAAGGTGACGCATAAGTATTTTTAAATTTAATTAAAATTACTCAAATTTTTTAACATAAATATTTATAAATTGTATACAATAAAACATTCAATAATAGTAGTAATAATAGTATTATAATATAAAATATAAAAATAGAATAGAGATGAAAATAAATAATTTTATAATATATATATTTATAGCATCAATAATATCTATTTATAAAAGTGAAGAGATATATTTCGATGATGGTACCGAAGAGTTTTCATTCATAGCGGATATGGATTTACCAACTAAACTATTAAATATAACGGCAACTGATATTTTTGCATCAGCATATCATTCAGCATTATTAAATGGTAAATAAACAAAATAAACAAAATATTAAATTAAAAAAAAATAAAAAAAAATAAAAAAAAAGTTTTATTAATATTTTTAATATTTTAAATTTTAAAATAGATAAAAACGAATTTTATCATTGGGGATTATTTTCAAATATTGTATCAGAAGCACCAAATGTAATAGAAATTAAAGATAATAATAAAAAGAATAATAAAATAAAAGATGCATCATTGGGTGGTAATTTTATATTAATGTTAACAATAGATAACGATTTATATTCAATGGGTAAAGGATCCTATGGTGTTTTGGGTTTAGATAAAGAAATGAAAGATTTGGAAGTGGAGCCAAAAAGAATTGAAACTTTAAAGAATAGAAATATAATATCATTATCAAGTGGTTATGAACATTCAATAGTGACTACCGACAAAGGATTGTTTTCATGGGGCAGATCCGACAAGGGTCAATTGGCTAATGGAGAGTTGAAATCAGAAATTAAAGATCAAATTAACTATAGTTCAAAACCACAATTTATAAAGAATTCAGATTCAACTTTTAGAAATATTAAAAAAGTTTGTTCAGGTAGTGATCACAGTTTAGTATTAAATAAAGATGGAACTGTTTATTCATGGGGTCACGGTTATTTTGGTGCTACTGGTCTCGGAAAAAAAGATAATGTAGCAACACCAACCAAAATACAATTCAACAAAGAGTTGGAGAACAAATTAGTTTTAGATATCGCATGTGGTGGTTACCATTCGCTAATTTTAACATCCGACAATGAAATTTACTCATTTGGCTGGGGAGAGTATGGTCAATTGGGTCACAGCGAAAATGACACAAAGAATTACTATTCACCAAAAAAGATCGAATCCATCAACTCTTCCACTAAAATCAAATCAGTTTTTGCTGGTAGTCATGCAACATCCTTTTATGTAGATGAAAAAGGTGATGTTTATTCATGGGGCTGGGGTGAAGGCGGTACATTAGGATTCGGTGACAATCAAAATGTTTATGTCCCAACTCAAGTTAAATCATTGTCAAATATTAAAAAAATTGCCGCTGGCTTCAAACACACTTTGGCTTTAACAAACGATAATCAAGTTTATGTTTTTGGTGATAACACTTTTGGTCAATTAGGATCCAAACAAAACAATGTTTTTGAAGATCCACAAAACGATAACCAAGACGAGTATATTAATAGCGAATATTTTAAAAGCTTATTAAAATTATTATAAAAATAACATTAATGTTAAAAAACGATTCAAATAATATTTTTTTTAAAGATAAATAAAAAGAATTAAATAGTGTGTTTTAAAAAAACACACATTTAAAGTGTTTAGGGGGTATCACATAAAATTTTTTAATAATATAGATCTACTATTAATATTTAATAATTATTATCTCCAGATATAACCATAAAAAACTGTTAATTACCTTTCTTTTTTTTTAAAAATTTTTTTTTTTTTTTTTTTTTTTTTAATTAATTTTTTTAATTAATTTTTTTATTTTTTTTGTGTTTTTTTTTATTTAAAGTTTTAAAATATTAAACTTTTTTTTTTTTGTATTATTATGATAAAAATAAAGGAAGTTAATAAATTATATAAAACAATTACTTCAAATTCTATAAAAACTCTAGTTAGTTCAAATAATATTATTAATAAAAAATCTCAATATAATATAAATATAAATAATCATAATAGAAACTATTTTACCTTATCAAAATTAACACTTCACAACAATAATAGAAATAGTCAAAAAATGAATTACTATGCAAGTTTTTTATTTTATTGCGAAAAAAACAATAAATGTTTAATGGTTAAAAATAATAATAATAAATTATATAAAGCAGTTCCACACAATTTTTATGGTTTCCCATCACTTACTCTGGAAATAGATAATGAAAATTGTAGCAGTATCAATAATGAAGTATCACTAAATAATCATTCATTTATAAACCAATTACCAATCGAAATACTTGAAAAAATGTTTAATAATAAAAGGTCATTTAAAAAAGAATCAATCTACTATTTAGGTAGTTTAGTTACACCCTATTATTATCAACAAGCGAAAAGAAATTATTTCAATTACTTTTTAGTACTAGTAAATGACTGTAACTCAATCAATAAAACGAGATTAGAGCATGCATTGTCCGAATCAATATCACCTAATGATCCTGCTTATGCTGGTGGTTCAAAAGAGAAAACATTAGAAATATCACTAGATTGGAAAGAACCAAAAGAATTTTTAAATGATTTCCATAACAACAGTAGATTTATTACACCAGAAACCCTTTATTTATTACAAATGCTTTCATACTTTGAAAAGGATAGATTTGACCCATTAGTTAACGAGGAGGATGAAGACAACCTTGGTATTCAAGTAAAAATGGAGTATGCACCATTCATAGAGTCCATTCCTGTTAGATCCAGTACATTATTTCCATTCAACACCACAAATCTTATTTTATCTCAAAACGAAGGCCATGTGCTTTTAGTTGATCCAGGTGCTAACAAAGATGGTACTGCTCATATGGTTAACATCATCGAAAAGAGATTAAAAAACCATCTCGATAATAATGGCAAGAACCTTTCAATATTTATTACTCATAATCATTTTGATCATTGGGAAGGTATTCACCTTTTAGAAGAGAAATTCCCAGAAGCTACAGTCTATGCCCATCATAAAACTTTAGCAAACGTTAGAACAAAATTAAAAAAAGTGTCAGTTGTAGGTTTGCCATTAACAAATAAAGAAAGTGTTGATCAAATTATTAATGATGTCTCTCCAGAATCACTTGGCGATAAATTATACACTCAAGAAAAATTAATCATTGGAAATGGTAATCGAATATTCCATGTTATTTCATCACCAGGCCACACTGACGACTCTTTATGTCTCTACGATAAACATAGTAAAACTTTAATTGCAGGTGATCATATTGTAGGTTTTGGTTCATCTGTTTTAGACTTTCACACTGGCGATATGAGACAATACCTCCATACCACCCAAGGTCTCATAGATTTTCTCGAACCTAATATAGCCATACCAGCACACGGCCCTACTAGCTACGACCCAATAGTACTCTTAAACAATTATATCAAACATAGATTAATTCGTGAAGAAGAAATCCTCAATGCTTATAAATCTGGCAAATGTTCCTTAACCGAAATTTTAGATGTAGTTTATGGTAATATTGATTCAAGTTTAAAATTAATGACCATGGGCAATATTAAATTACATTTAGATAAATTAAAACAAGATGGTAAAATTAATTAAACAATATTAAATCAAACCCATTAAATCAAATATTTTTTTTTTTTTAAATTTACAAATAAATACACAAATAAAAAAGGATATTTTCATTATTTCAATTTAAATTTTTTTTTAATTTTTTTAAATTTTTTTTAAATTTTATTTTTTTAAATTTTTTTTTTTAATTTCAACGATCATTCAAGTATATAAAATATATATTGCAAAAATAATAAAATAATGAGTAATACTCATCACCATAATATTGAAATTCAGTCACAAGAGTAAGTATTAAAATATTCCAATTTTAATTTTAAATTTTAAATTCTAATGTTTTTTTTTTATCAATATTCACAGCGTTATAAAATTAATTTTACAATTTTTAAAAGAAAACTCTTTAGGAAATTCACTAAATACATTACAAGAAGAAACAGGTATAAATTTAAATATAGTAGATAATAAAGAAACTTTTCTAAATGATGTAAAGAATGGAAATTGGGACAGTGTATTAGATGTTTTATCAACCTTAAAACTTTCAGTAGATCTAACTATGAATATATATGAACAGGTAATTTGTAATTACATTATAAACTTACTATAATAGATATGCGTACCTAACTTTTTATTACCACATCCTATTATATAGATAATTGTTGAACTTTTACATTTAAAGGAATATGAAATAGTAAAACATTTATTAAGAAAAACAGAACCAATGAATTATATGAAATTAAATCATCAAGAAAGATATTTAAAATTAGAAAACTATTTACAAAGAGAATATATAGATTTAAATGATGTAAGTAAATAGAAATAATAGAAATAGCTATGGATTTTGAATTTAATTTTTTTTTTTTAGTTTTATAAATATGGTATTACAACAGAGAAAAAAAGAAAGCAATTAATTGATCAGTTAAATAGTGAAATTACAACAGTACCATCTTCAAGACTATTATCATTATTATCACAATCATTACATTGGCAAAAACATACAGGTGTTATACCGACAGATTGCACAGAGTTTGATTTATTTAAAGGAGAATTACCACACAAAAAGATTGAGGTCGAAGAAGAGGCCACACCAAATATTTTAGACAAAACAATCAAATTTAACACCAAAAACAAGCCAGAATCAGTCCAATTTTCACCAGATTCTAAATACCTTGTTACTGGTAGTATAGATGGCTTCATTGAAGTTTGGGACTATAACACAGGTAAACTTTCAAAGAATCTAGCATATCAAGCAAATGACGATTTTATGATGCACGACGATACAATTCTTTCAATTACATTTTCAAAAGATGGTGAATATATGGCTACTGGCTCTTTAGATAGTAATATTAAAGTTTGGCAAATTAAAACTGGCAAGTGTCTAAGAAAATTTGAACCTGCCCACACAAACGGTGTTACTTGCTTACAATTTTCAAAAAACTCTACCCAAATTTTAAGTGGCTCATTCGACTCATCATTAAAGTAACTATTTATACTTACTCTTATTATAGTAATTATTATTTAATATATTAACCTTTATATTTAGAATTCATGGATTAAAATCAGGTAAAGCATTAAAAATATTTAGGGGACATCAATCTTTTGTCAATGATTGTAGCTATAATTCAGATGAAGATAGAATTATTTCATGCTCAAGTGATGGAAAAATTAAAATTTGGGATGCAAAAACATCAGATTGTCTTCAAACCATTACACCAACCCAAGTTGTTACTGTTAAAGATATAGCAATTCGTTCATTTTTTATTTTATTAAAGAACCCAGAATTTTTATTGGTATGTAACTCATCCTCAGTAATTTCAATTGTTTCAATGAAAACCCAAACCATCAGCAAAACATTTTCAAGTGAAAATAATAAAACATTTTTATGTTGTACCTTATCACCACAACAAAACTATCTTTATGCTGTTGCCGAGGATAACGAGTTATACTGTTTCGATTTAAATAATAGTACTTTGGTAAACAAAATGAAGATACACGAACAAGAAGTAATAGCAATCGCCCATCATCCAACTAAAAATATTCTAGCAACAATTTCAGCTGATTGCCTTTTAAAAACTTGGATAAATAACACAAATAAAAATTAATAAACTATTTTTTATTTTATAGTTTTTAAAAAAACAATTCCTTTATAAAAAAATAACTTTTATTTATAAAACAATTTTATAAAAACTAATAAATATTTAAAAATAAAAACTATTTTTTTTTTAAAGTTTATAGTACACTTATATAAAAAAAAAATTATTAAAGTTTATTAAAATTAATTAACAATCATTTAAATTTTCATTGGAAACCTGAATGGATATATTCGTATTTGAATTGTTTGTATTATTTGTGTTGTTTGTTGGGTTTAAATGATTATGTAAATTTTTAAAATTTGAATTAATATCGATTGAATTTTCTTTGAGTAGATTTTTATAAATATCGATTTCTGTTTTTAAATTAGTTGATTCACCTGATAAGAGTTCAATAGATTCTGATAGCTGCATGTTCTTTAAAATATTTTCTTGAAGCATTACCTCCATTTTCTCTACCATTTCTGCAACAATTTTAGGATCGTTATTTCTCCAGAATGAACCAGTGATACCTCCTTTCAATCTCTTTGTTTTTTCATCTTCGGTAGTAGCTCTACCAAGTTGAGTTTTTGAAATATAAAATCTTACAACCTTTGACTTTTTATCGATTTCTTGTAAAAGCATTTGATTGGTTTGTTCTAATGTTCTATTCTTTTCTTCTAACTTATAATTTTCTGAACCAAGCTCACCTAATTTTCTACCTAAAGTTTCTAAATCATTTCTAAGTGTTGATTCTGAATAATGGGCACTTGATGGATGTGGTGGTTTAATTGGTGAAGCATTTGGTTGAGTTGATAATTGGAATGCAGAACCTGTTGAGATGGTTCTTTGATGTCTTGATGGAACTGGTGTAACATTTGGTGTTGTTGGTAAGGATACACTGCCTGCTGATCTTTGTAATGATGGAGATGGTGCTGTTGGTGTTACTTGACCTGAAACTCCACCTATATTACTACTAGATTGTGATAATTGACTAATAGAATCCCTTGATTGTGATAACTCCATTTTAAGATCCTTAATCATTTTTATATTCTTCTTTTCGCTAATCTTCTTTTCGGTTTCAGCATCAACAAGAGAAACCTCCAACTTGGTGATTTTCAAGCATGCCTCATCATAATTGGTTTTAACTATTTCATACTGTGGTTCTAAAGCTGCTAAACGTTCAGATACCTCTGTAAATTTGGTTTCTGTTGATGAAAGTGACTCTTTAACATTTGATAACTCCTCTTGTATCTTTTCAAAATCAACCAATCTCTCTGTTTTCTCTTTGATTTCATTTTCTTGTTGTGAAATCAATGTTTCTTTTTCTTTTAATTCTGCTGAGAGACGTTCAATTTCATTTTGATCCTCCTCACCTTTATTCTTTTGGGCTTGGCTTGTTGACTCTAATGTTTCTTTTTCTTTTTCGAGATCACCAATTTGCTTTTCCATTTCTTCAATACGTTTTTCAAAATTGTTATTGTCAAGGGTAACAACATTAAATCTTTGATTTAGTGAATCGAAACTGCTTCTTTCTAAAACTAATTTTTCTTCTAATTTCTTTAATTTTGTTGATAATGAATCAAACTCATTCTTATTTTCCTCACCCCTCTCGATAGTTTGTTTTAAAAGAGACTTCTCCTCTTGTAAACTTGATTCCAAGTCTTTGATTTTTTGCGATAAATGATCGGCCTCGATACTCTTTGATTCAATAACTTGATCCTTAATCTTTATTTCGTCAATTGACTGATTATAATTTTGTAAATATTCGTCTCTTGATAGTTTGAAAATATTACTTTTATCATTTAAATCTGAAATCATTCTTTCATAATTTAATCTGCATAAATTTTATAAAAAAAAATAAAATCAAAATTATTAATAAAAAAATAAAATTTTTGTATTTAATATTATTTTATAAAGTATATTTACTTTTGGTTTGTTAATTCTTGTGATCTTTCATTTAATAACTTTTCATATTTTTCTTTTTCTGAATGAAGAGTAGAGTCCTGTTGTTCAATTGATTCTTCGAATTTCTTTGATGAAACTTGTAAAGCATTTTGCATCTTTTGAAAGTCCTCTTCTAACTTTTGTTTTTCTGATTCAATATTGCTATACTCTTCTCTAAGCTTTTTAATATCACCCTCTAATCTTTCTTCAATTTTAACACGATTAATCTCAGCCTCTCTATGTTTTTCTTTCCATTGTGAAATTTGTAAATTTAATTGTTCATTGTTTTCAATTGCTTCTTTAATTTCACTACTATTTTTATTAGCTTTACCCTCATTATCTCTAATCTGCTCCATTAAATGTTTGATTGTATCCCTAAGCTTTTGCTTTTCTTTTTCATTATCTGGATTATATTCCTATATTTTAATAAATGATATTTAATATTTATGCTATGTTGTAATAAAAATGATATTTAAATAGTTACTTACTGGTTCACCTAATGGATGGAAAATAATTTCTTTTGGTGTGACTGGTGATGGTGGTGTGGTAGCTGCATTATTATTATCATCTTGCGACATATTAAATAAATCTGTAATCTTTTCTTTTAATTCGTCATTTTCTAAATTAAAACCATTTAAAATTTCAACAATAGAGTCTAATGATACACCTGTAGTATTAGTATTTGTATTTGTAATATTACTATTTGAGCTTTGATTTGTTTGATTTTGAAGTTTTAATTCAAGATCTTCATTGGTACAATGTAATTCGGCCAAATCGACTTGTAATTTTCTAACTGTATTTTGTTGCTCCTCACTTTTCAACACCTAAAATAAAAAAGATGAATGTTAACATAATTTATTTTTTTATTTTTCTTTTTTTTTTACATACATATGTTTGAATATCTTTTTTTAATAATAGAATCTGCTCTTCGAGTTGACTATTAGTTTCAAATAAACTTTTAATATTGTGTTTAAGCGCTTCATTTTGCTCTATATAAACGACTGAATTTTGCTGAATTGTTTTCTTGAGAGTTTCATTCTCCTCTTGAATTTCATTCATTTTACCTTTTCTTGAAACAATATCTGAAAAAAGGGATGACTTTTTCTTTCCACCATCCTCTTCGAGCTGTTCCTTTAATAACTTTAATTCATTATTTAATTTCTTTTCTTTTTCAGAGAATTCATACTTTTCTCTTTTTAATGAAATAAGTTGTTCCTGTAATAAATTGAAATCTTCGCTACTGATCATTTTATTATTATTTTATTTTATTTTATTATTAACATAAAAAATTATAAATGATTGCAACAAACAATAAAACAAAGTTTATTTAAAAATTTATATTTTTATTAAAATACAACAATAACAAAATAATAAACAAAAATATTAATAAATTTTGATTTGATTATTTATTAAATTATTAGATTGTATTTAAAAATAAAATAAAAAGTAAAAATAATATTATTGTGGATATTTTTTTTATTTTTTATTTTTTATTTTATTAAAATGATAACAATGAGTTTTTTTTAATATAAACAAAAAAAAAAACAAAAAAAAACAATCAAAACAATCAAAAACTATTTAAATTTTATTATTTTATGGTATGGTTGAATGTCTATCTGTTATGTAATTATTTTTAAAAAAAAATAAAAAAAATAAAAATTTTTTTTTAAAAAATAAAAATAAAAAAAAAATAAAAAAATTTTAAAATAAAATAATAAAACCTATTTGGTTTATTTTTATAATAATGAGTGTGTGAATAATTTAAATTTAATATTTTATTTATATAAGTATTTTGTATATTTAAGATATGATTTAAAAAATAAAATAATTTTATTCATCTATTTATTTTTTGATGATGTAATTTGATTGGATTGATTAAATTTTGATAATTGAAATAAAATAGTCTCTATACTAAAAAATTAAAAATGTTAAAAAAAAAATTAAAAATTATTAAGATTTCCACGATAATCCACAAAAAAAAAAAAAATACTCACATTTTTAAAAGTAAAAATACTTACCATTTAAATATAATGATTAAAAAAGTATTAACTTTTTTTTTTTTTATAAATATATATATTTTGTAAATCTAAAAAAAAAAAAAAAAAAAAAAAGAAAACAAAAAAAAAAAAGGAAAAAAAAAAAGATAATACTTTGCAAAGATAAACAATTTTAGAATATTATTAACTCTTTTGTAGTTATTTGTATTACATTATTCTAATTGTATTATTTGTTATTGTTCGATTTTTTTTTTGATTTATTTAATTTTCGATATATTTCACAAAGTATTTAAAATATTATTGTTTTTATATTATTTTATAAATTATTATAATTATTTTTTTTATTATTATTATTATTATTATTGCTATTGCTATTGCTATTTGTTTAACTATTTGTAAAATAATATTCTTCTTTGCCTTCATATAAATAAATAAAAAAAATTTGGTTTAATCCAAAAAGAGGTTGGGATGATCGTTGTTTCGTCGTCGTAATATTTGTAACTTTCATTACCTCTTTTTGTTTTAATTCTGTCTTGAAAGTTCCAATCATTCAAGATAAAATAATTCATTGGTTTCAAAAAATGGTTAATAAAAAAAAAAAGGTAAAAAAAAAAAAAAAAATAATTCTATAAATTCTTTATTCTTGAACACTTTCTTATTGTAATGTTTGCTATTATTTCATAGTTTTTTTTTTTTTTATTAAAATTTCAAAAGACTTGATTTATTCTTTTGCAAAAATTATATTTTTTTTTTTGATTGTTGTTTTTTGTTGATTTTGGTGTTGATATTGGAATACAATTTGAAAGCCTTTGACAAGTTGAAGCTAAAATGATAGGATATAAAATAGAAATAAAATGTAGTTGTGAGAAAAGGGAAAAGGGAAAATAGAAATGAGAAAAAAAGAAAATTTAAAAAGATGGTGGCATGTGTGTATATATACTTTTTTTTTTTTTTTTTTTTTTTTTTTAATTGTACACACTAACCTTATTCTTTTTAAATTTAAAAAGAAAAAAGAAAAAAAGAAATAAATATGTTGTCGATTTTTTTTGTTATGTATATATAAATAAAAATACTTACAAGTTTTCTAAATCTCTTATCTTCTGTAACCATCTCTTGGTCTTTCTTCTCTGAATCTATCGTATCTATCTCTGCTGTCGTCTCTGTGTCTATCCTCTCTGCCATATCTGTCACCTCTTTCTTCTCTGCCATATCTGTCACCTCTTTCTTCTCTGCCATATCTGTCACCTCTTTCTTCTCTGCCATATCTGTCTTCTCTACCATATCTTTCACCTCTTTCTTCTCTGTATCTATCTCTTCCATAGTCTCTTCCGTAATCTCTACCACCTCCGTATGGTGAGAATCTTGGTGGTGGTGATCTTCTTGAGTCATATTTTCTAATTTGAAAAAAAAAGGATATACTATTAGCTTTATATTTGATATTTTTTTTTAAAAAAAATACTTACGGATTACCATAGTATCTACCTGGAGTTGGATCGTGTGGTCTCTTAGTTGCTGAAAAGTCAGTACGAATATGTTTGCCGTGTAAAATTAAATCTTGGCATTCTTCTTTGGCTCTAACAGCGTCGTCTTTATTTTCAAAATAGACAAAACCAAAACATTTTGAACGTCCAGTCTTTCTGTCCATAATAAGATCGACGTGATCAATTTTACCAAATTTAGTAAATTCATCTTTGATATCTCTTTCTTCGGTGGATGGACTTAAACCGAAAACACCTAAAACACAACTTGGTGAGGCAGTCTAAAAGATAAAGATAATAATTATAAATATGTATTAATATTTTAAAAATGATATGTTTAATTTATAATTACATTTGGTTTTTTACTTACATTTGCTAATCTGTTTCTTGGTGTGTTATAGTCGCCACGTCTTTTATCATCGCCTCTAATTGGTGAGTGACCTCTGTTTGGTGAGCCACCTCTGTGTGGTGAACGGCTGTTACCTCTGTTTGGTGAACCACCTCTGTGTGGTGAATGACTATCACGGTTCATATCACCATTTTGTCTTCTTGGGCTTGGAGATCCACGTCTTTGGTTGTCGTTATCTCCATTGGCCATCATTCTTTCTTCAACTTCCATTTATTTAATTATATGTTAATTTAATAAATATTTTTTAGATATTTAAATTTTTAGAGGAAAAAAAAAAAAAAAAAAAAAAAAAGAAATATATAATTACAATAAATATAAACTATATATAATGAAAAAAAAGATATATCTATTTATTAATTATATAAAAAATAATAAACAAACGAATATGTATTTTAAAATAAAAATTAAAAAAAAAATATTAAAAAAAAAAAAGGAAAGAATTTAAAAAAAAAAAATTTAAAAAAAATTTAAAAAAAAAATTAAAAAAAAAATTAAAAAAATTAAAAAAAAATTTTTTTTATTTTTTTTTTATTTTATTTTTTTTATTTTTGAACTAATTCGATTTTCAAAATGAAAAATGTTCACACCGCACACCACTCCGTTTTTTTTTAATATCAAAACTTAAGAATTGGGAAATTAATTCTCTTCAATTTCATTGGGTTTGATATATATATATAAATTACAATTATGCAAGATAAATATAAATTAGTGGAGTGATTTACGGAGGGTTTGCTAATAATTGATCATGGTTGGCTTCAACAAAATCAAAATTTGATGGTGGCGAAAAAAAAAGAAAAAAGAAAAAAAATACTAGGGATATTTTCATCAAATTTTAATTTACAAATAGGTAGGTTTTTAAAAATATTATCATCAAATATAACTAAACACTCCGTTTTCACTCCACTTTTTTTTTTTTTATAGTTTTATAGTATCCAGTTCCTAAAAATGGTAAAATAATCGTGGTCAAAAATTATTTTTTTTGTAAAAATAATTATTTTTTTAAACTCCTATTAAAGTATTACATTTATTTAAAACAAATAAAAAGGGTATAGTATTTATTTGTATTTTAGCACAAATTGGCATTTTTACAAATTGAAGTATACTCTTTCTTTTCAAGTAAACCTTGAACAATTTCACTTCTATGAACAGTTGGTAATGAACACTTTTAAAATTTAAATGTATAAATAGAAAAATAAAAAATATTAATATCCATTTCATTTTCAATTAGTTAATATATATAGGTAATATTTACAACAGGTAATGGAAGTTGAACAGGAAGTTGTGGTAATGGAGCAACACCGGTTACTTGGGTACATGCTTGTGTAAGATAGTTCTCAACCATTTCTCTGGATCTTTTGCCTGGGAGTTTGCTGTCAACTGTTTTAATGGCATTCTTACAAGATTCACATTTTTCCTTGTTTGCGGTAGCAGAGATAAGGCCAGAGAATAATACAACAATAATTAAAAAGATGGTTAAGAATTTCATTTTTGTTTTTGTTTTTGGTTTTGGGTTTCTATAAAAAAAGTACAAATAGTTTTTTTTCTTTTAATAAATTAATAAATTAATTAATAAATAAATAAATATAATTGTTTTATTTGTGTGTTTTTAATTAAATAATAATAGTTTTTTTTTTTTTTTTCAATTTAAATAGTTTTTTTTTTATAAAAATAAAATAAATTAAAATAATTTTATAAATTTAAATTAAACATCAATTAAAAAATAAAAATATAATAAAATAATTTATTTGAAACAAAATGTTGTCATAAATAACATAAACAAATAAGGAAATAGATTTTCATATAGAAAAGAAAAAAAAAGAAAATGAATTAAAAACCTAATTTTAAAAAAAAATAAAAAACTAATACCAATATAACAATAGATATATAAACATTTTAATAAATACTTTAATACATACCTCTAAAAAAAAAGGAAATTTTTTTCAGTGTGTTGTGTTATTTTGTTTTTGTTTATGTTTTGTTTAATTTTTTTATTATTTTTTAACTACCACCAGAGAACATTAATTAAATCATTTAATAAATAGGGGTGATCATAATAATAATAATGACAATAATAATAATAATAAAACATTATAATCTATCCAAAAAATCAATATAATAAAATACATATATTATTTCTTGTTTATTAAAAATCATCAATCTACATTATATTGTCTTAAATAATATAAATAAAAAAACTAGTTTACTTTAAAATAGAGATTTATTTAGTTTAATTTAATATTTTATATAAATAAAATCATTTCAAAAAATAAATAAAATATATTACATAGTTTAAATTATTAATTAATTTAAAAATTTTATTTTTTTTTATACGGGTTTATTTAAAAAATAGATTTATTTTGTTTTTATAAACACATATATACATATTTATATTTTAAACATTGATTAATGGGTTTTAATTTTAAATATGAACAATATAAAAGAGATTTTTTTTAATGTTTTATTTTTATTTTGGTTTTTAATCTATTATGGGTTATATCACACACACTTTTTTTTTTAATTTAGGAAACTGTGGGGGGTGGTGTTGATATTGAAATATAGATATATTTATTTGATTAAATTTCTAAAATTGATTTTTATATTTTATATAAACTACAAAATTTTATGATTAACATAAATATATGAATTAATCTTTTAGAATTTTATTCTATATAAAATAATAAGCTTTTAAAATATTTATTAAATAATTCTCAATTAGAATATACTCCACATAGGATATAGAATCATAATGGATGTCTTCAAGTAAAATGATTTTTTATAATATTTATAATATGCCTGTGGTATTGATGTAGAAGAGTATATAGTATAGTTAATTTTTTTTAAAAAAAAGCACAGAATTGTGGTTTTATTATTTTTATTATTATTACTTTTTTTTTATTTCTTTGTATTTACAATCTTGTGTGTGATTTCATTTTTATAATTTTATTATTTTATACTTTTATTATTATAAATTTAAAATTAAAAAAAATTGTTGTTTATTATTTTGTATTTTAGATAAATTTTATAATTGATAAATTTATTTAATTATTTTTTTTATTAAAATTACTTTTTGTAATTTATATTTTTAATTTTTTATTTATTGGTTTATTATTTTTTTTATTCTGGACCATTACCCAATTTAACGTCGTATAAAATATCATCAAATTGATGTCTATAAAGACCTTGCTTATTTCTCTTTTGATCTAATGCATGGCCGATGAGACCTACGGTTCTACCAACGATAAAGAAACCATTTAAATATCCAATATCAATAATCTCTTTAATTTCTTGTTGAGTGAATAAACCTGAGGAATGTAATAAATCTAAAAATAATACACCTATACAACCATCAACATTTAAAATTAAGTTGTTTGCTTTTTGTAATGTATATTTTTCTACTTCTAATGCATATTCTAAATATTTAGTTGAGGTAAAGTGAGTGTATGCATATTCTTTTAAAATAATGACTCTCTTGTCAGAGTCTGTTGCTGATTTAATTAAATGACCAATACCTGGGATTCTTCTACCTTTTGATTTCATACCTTCGACAAATTGATCTGGTGAGAGGCCACGATCAACGGCATCTTGGAATACACGTGCACTATCATCGATTGCACCACCGAAACGTGGACCAATAGTTAAGAGACCTGAAACAAGACTGGATACAAGGTCTTTACCAGCACGAGCTGCAACGATTGTATTATGAGCACCACTAACTGCTGGACCATGATCGGCAACTAATTTCAAACACATTTCAAAGAATTTTGATGCATATGGTGGAAGCTTTCTTTTAAACCATAGTAAACCTATAACATCACCCAAACAATATTGTTCTTTGCATACCTCTGAAATTGGAACACCAGCATATGATAATTCATCACCACGATCATCACAAATGGTTGAAATAATGCTTGTTGGTTTTCTGACTTTACCAGCTTTAACTGCAGTCTTGAAATCTAATGGTAATTCTGGTGGTGTTGGCTCTTCAACTGGTTTAACTAAACCTTTACTTTGTAATTTGGCATAGGTGGCAGCAATAACATTTGAAAAGTCTTCAAATGATGTTGGTACAATTGCACCAGCATCTCTTAATGAATTGTTTTTAGCATCGGCACTTTCAGTTTCACCACCAGATTTTGCACCAGCATGTCCAAATTGAACCTCTGTTGGGAAAATTTTTGCAACTGTTCCAGAAACCCATGCACATATTGGCTTAGTAATTTCGCCTTTCTTTAATGCATCTACAATACCATATTCATCCCATCCGCCTAATTCACCCAAAACAACAATCATTTTAACTTCTGGAAGTTTTTCGAATCTTAGTGCATGATCAGTCAATGTGGAACCTGGGAATGCATCACCACCAATTGCAATACCTTCGTATATACCATCTGTGCATCTTGATAAAACATTATACATTTCATTTGATAGACCACCACTCTTTGAAACAAAACCAACTGAACCGGATCTATAAAGTTTACATGCCATAATATTATCGATTGTACCGGCAGTATTACCAATTTTAAATGAACCAGCTTGAATACCACCAACAGTGGCTGGACCAATAATAACTTTACCAGCTTTTTTAGCAATTGCAATCAATGAACGAGCTTCGTTTTCTGGGACACCTTCAGCAATAATAACTACAGTTCTAATACTTGGTTCTCTTAAGGCCAATAGCGATGATTGATATGCAGAACGATGAGATGCAAAATTTAAAAAGACATCAGCATTTGGACATTGTTGACATGCTTCTGAAACACTATTATATACAGGAATAACCAACTCTTTAAAGCCAAAGAAAGCTTTATATAAACCTCCATCTGACCCTGGATGAATTAAACCCGCAACCGATGGTGTATCTCTTTGTGAAACATTATCAAAATCCAACATTCTTTGAACTGCTGCTTCTTTATAATTATAAATTAAAGCTTGTGATTGTTTTGTAAACAATCTAGCTGGTAAATGATTTGAACTAGCCATTTCTATATATAAAATAATCTATATTTTTTTAAAATTAAAAAATATTAATATTTGTGATTATTTAAATTATTTTTAAAATTAAAAAATATATACAAAAATAAATAAATAAATAAATAATAAATAAATAAAAAATTTAATAAATATTTAATATATATATTTATTAAATTGATTAGTAAAAAAAAAAAAGTCAAAATATTAAAATAAAATAAAATTATAAACCTTTTTTTTGAATTGAGATTTGGGAACTATTAAAATTACTTTTTTTTTTTTTTATTATTTAAAAAAATAATAATTGATAAATAAATATATGTAATGATGCTGCTATGAGTCAATTAAGAGACACAAAAAGAAAGTACAACCACAATTTAATAATTAAAAATAAAATATAATTATTAAAAATTAAAAAAAAACTATTTAGAAATCCCTATTTTTATTGGGATTTTTTATGAAAACAAAAAAATAAAAATATTACAAAATAAAAAGTATTAAATTATTGTCATATGAGGTGTTATTGTTAAAAAGAAATATTAAAAAAAAATTCTACAGGATGTTTTTGGATTTTTATATGAAGGGGTGCAAAAGTGATATGAATCCAACCCAAGTAAAAAAAAAAAAATTTTTTTTTAAAAAAAAAAAAAAAAAAAAAAAAAAAAAATTGGGAAAGGTGTGATTTTATGATTTCCCTATTCAATTTTTACAGACGACACAATATTATTTTGACAATTTTAATTTAAAAATATGTTGCGAAGAGGTGTAAAATAAAATAAAAAAAAAAAAAAATCAATAAAATTAAATCAAAAAATTAAAAAATCAAAAAAAATATAATTTAATTTAAAAAAAATAAAAAAAAATTAAAAAAAATTAAAAAAAATTATTAAAATAATTATTAAGAATGAAAAAAAAATTATTTAATTAAAATTATTTGTATTTACAATAAAAAGGAGGGCATTGTGTGTGGTGAAAATAAAAGTACAAAGAACGCTCCACTAATACGATAATAATTTTAATAATACAATAATTTTTAAAAAAATAATAAAATAGGTTTGTATAACAGTTAAATTATTTAAATTTAAAAAGTTTTTTTTGTTTATTTGTATATATTTATTTATTTATTTTTTTATATGTACACATACATTTTATTTTATATTTGATTAAATAATTTATATATATAAATAAAATAGATAATATATTTTTAAAAAAAAATTTTTTTTTAAAAAGTAATAAATATAATTAAATTTTAGATAACAAAAAAAAAAAAAAAAAAAAAAAAAAAAAAAAAAAAATTTAAATGTAAATTTTAATATATTTTAAACCTTTTGTTTCAGAATTAAATATATGTGCACAATTACTATTTAGTTTTAAATTACCTACTTTATTTAAATTAGGAATATTATTAAAAAAACAAATTTAAATTTTATACTCCTTAAAAATAAACGTAATAATAGTGGAAAAAAAAAATATATTTTTATAAGCTTTTTTAATAATAATAATAATAATAATAATATAAATAATAATATTAAAATATCTTTGAACAATTTTTTTATTTATAATTTCCATGGGGTGTTGTGTGTGTTATGAAAAAATTTTTGGGGGTAAAAAAACAATTTTTTTTTTGTAAAATTTTTTAAAAGAGTATTTTTGGGGGGGAGGGGGGATGTAAAAATTAATATTAAATTTAATTTATTTTTTAGTTTTTTTTATATTCTATCTATTGTACTTATAACATATATATTTATTAAAAGATATCACCTTTTAGTTTTTTTTTTTTTTTTTTTTTTTTTTTTTTCTTTTTTGTTATACATTGCTGTTTTTTTTTTTTAATTTTTAATTTTAATATTTTATTTTTTAATAAATTTAAATTGTTGTTTATAGTTTTTAAACTTTTATCATTACAATTCAATTATTTTGCTCTATATTAATTAAAAACTATCCAATAGGTATGTTTTTAAACGAGTATTTGTCGTTTTTGGACCCTTCATTTTTTTAAAAAATCAAGAGGACTTGTCATTTATTTTTTTTTTAAAAAATTAAATTTCCTTTTTAAATTTTTAAATTTTCATTCAATAAAAAATTCGAAGGGAAATCTGTTTTGGTTTAATTAATTTTAAACCATTTGTTATAATTTTATTTTTATATTTAAATAATAATAGTAATAACAATATAATTATTTTTAATTTATTTATTAAAATATTAATTTTTTTTATTTATTTTTTTAATTGTCTTTTTTTTTCTTCTCTTTAATTTTTTTTTTCTTCTCTTTAATAATAAACCTTTAGTAATATACATAAATCATATATAGTTTATAAAGAATGGCCAGAAAGAAATTAAGAGAATATTCAACTAAATATATCATCAAAAACAATTTCCCATTATTGTGCAATGGATCGAAATTAAATTTAAAAATGATTCAAGTATCACCAAATACACCAACTTTATTAGAATTATCAAAAACAATAGATAATATTTGGGTAAATAATTCTAAATTGGTAGTTAAACCAGATATGTTATTTGGTAAAAGAGGAAAAAATGGATTGGTTTTATTAAATGCAACATTGGAAGAAGCAGATAATTTTATTAAAGAAAAGATTAATAAACCAGTTGAAATTGGTGGAAAGAGTGGTTTAGTTACCCATTTCATTGTTGAACCATTCGTTCCACATACAGAAGAGTACTATCTTTCAATTACTGCTCAAAGAGAGTCAAATAGAATTTCATTCTCAAATTGTGGTGGTATGGAAATTGAAGAGAATTGGGATAAAGTATCAACATTAGATATCCCTTATGGAGAAACCATCGATAAGGTAGATTTACACACTTTAATCGACTCATCCGTATTAAATAGAGAATATGTTATTGAATTTATTAGAAATATTTATAAATTATTTAATGGTAACTATTTTTTATATAATATAACTCTTTATAATTTATATTAATATTTTTTTATTTTTTATTATTTCTAGATTTATCATTCCACTTTATTGAAATGAATCCATTTACATTGGATCATGAAGGTAAGCCATATCCATTAGATGCAAGAGGTGAAGTTGATGAATGTGCAGCTTTTAAATGTGGTGGTAGATGGTTAGTCGACGGTGAACCAGTACAATTCCCACAACCATTTGGTAGAAGTCTTTATCCAGAAGAAACCTATGTAAATGAATTGGATGAAAAAACTGGTGCTTCGTTAAAACTTACACTTTTAAATCCAACCGGTAGAATTTGGGCAATGGTAGCTGGTGGTGGTGCATCCGTTATATATGCTGATACTGTTGCTGACATGGGATATGGCCATGAATTGGGTAATTATGGTGAATATAGTGGTGATCCAAATGAGGAAGATACTCATAAATATGCCTGTACAATCATTAGTTTAGCTACAAGAAATCCAGATTCAAAACCAAGAGCATTATTAATTGGTGGTGGTATTGCAAATTTCACCGATGTTGCCGCTACATTCAAAGGTATTATTAGAGCCATAAAAGAATATCACCAAGATATTATTAAAGCCAATCTTTCACTTTTCGTAAGAAGAGGTGGTCCAAACTATCAATCTGGTCTTCAACACATGAGAGAAATTGGTCACAAGCTCCATATTCCAATCAAAGTATTTGGTCCTGAAGTAAATATGACAAGTATCGTTGCTATGGCCATTCAACATATTAACAATCCAATCGCTAACCCAGTACCAATCCACCATTCAAAACCAACCAGTTTAACAATGTCTCCAACTATTAATGGTGTTCATTAATTTACACAAATAAAGGGGTGGGGTGAAAATAAATAAATAGTATATAAAAAATACTTTTTTTTTTTTTTTTCTCTATTTTATTAAAGCTTAAATATCATTTTATACTATTTCTTTTTTTTTCTTTTTTTTTTTATTTTATAATATTATTTTTCTTTATATATTAATGTTTATAAAAAAAACTATAATGAAAACTTTTTTTTTTTTTTTTTTTTTAAATTTTTTTTTATTTTTTTAAAATTTTTTTTTATTTTTTAATTATCATTTTTTATTTTTTTTTAAACATTTAAATTCAACATCCAACTTCATTTTTTTTATATTATTTATTTTATATATATTATATGTATAATAATTATTAAAAATGATAGAGGCACCAATTGTTTTAGATGTAGAAATTCGTAATTGGGTAGTTATACCAATTTTAATTGTATTATTTATTGTTAGTGCATTAAAACTAAATTTTAGCAGAATTTTACAATTAAAATCAAATAGAGATCAAGATGTAGAAAAAACAATGCAAATGTAATACACAATTATTTTAGAAATAGGGATTCAATGGTTATATAGGATACATATATTGACAGTATTTTTTTTTTTTTCATTCATACAATTATTTAGGCAAACAATCAATAGAGTTAGAAGATTAACATCATTTTATAATAGAATACCACAGAAATCATTTTTTATGAGAAAGGCCTTTTTATGTGGCACACCAGGTGCTACTAATCCAAAGAATAGAGGTCTTTTAAGTTCAATCGCACCAGCACAAGAAGACAGCAATCCAATGAATATGATGTTTGCCAATTCAATGTTTACAGATCCATCAGGTATGACAGATATGCTTAAGGGTAATGTAGTTCATCTTGTACCACAAATTACAATGATGTCTTGGGTCAATCATTTCTTTAGCGGTTTTGTAGCATGTAAATTACCATTTTTCCCATTAACAATTCGTTTCAAAGCATTTCTTCAAAGAGGTATCGAATTAAGTTCATTAGATGTATCATATGTCAGTTCATTATCATGGTATTTCTTATGTTGGTTTGGTTCAGAAGGTATCAATAATATTCTTTTAAGCGACAATTTCGTTTCTCCAGATACTCAATTATTCAATTCTCAAGTCGAACCTGGCCCACCAGCTCAACAAAACCCAATTCATAAAATTTACGATGGAGAAAGAGAAAATATAGAAATGATTAGATATGACTCAATTATGAATAACATTGAAAATAGATTTTTAGATAACCTTTCAAAAAAAACATCATTAGATCTCAATACTTTAAATAATTTAAATAATTCAAACAATAATAATAATAATAATAATAACACTTTAACTAAAATTCAAAAAACAAAAACAAAATCATCTTCATCTTCATCATCATCAACCAACACTAAAAGAGTCCTTTATCAAAAACCTTCTTTAAAATAAATTATAACCAAATAAAAATATTACCAAAAAAATAATATTTACATATATGGATAAAAAAAAAAAAAAATAAAATTTAATTTTTAATTTTTTTTTTTTTTGATAATAAATTTTTTTTTTAAGATATATTTGTTGTGTGTGTAAATTCTTTATTTTTTCTTATCTATCGTTTTTTTTATTTTTTCCCAATTTTTAATATTAAAAAATATATATTTTTTAAATTTAATTTTTTTTTTTTTTATTTATTTTTTTAAAATTTATTTTCATTTTCATTTTCTTTTTTTTTATAATTTTATAAATTGTATTAATAACTTTTGTGTGAAATTATTTTGTGATAACAATACTAAAAAGTATAAATAAGCAAAAAAATTAAAATAAAATAAAATAAAATAAAATAAAATAAAATAAAATAAAATAAAATAAAATATTTATATTTAAATATATAAATATAAAAAAAAAATATAAAATGATAACAACAAATTTTACTAAACCCTATATACCTAGAAAGAAAAATAATAATAATAATAATAATAATAATAATAATAATAATAATAATAATAATAATAATAATATAAATAAAAATAATAATAATAATATAGATACAAATAATAATATAACGTCTGCATCGATTATAGCTACAGCAATCGAAAGAGATTTACAAGTAAAAAAAACATACGAGAATTTTTATACAGAGTTTCCATCATTAAACGAAATATATAAAAATAATAAAAATTTATCAAAACAAAATGCATCACAAAAAAATTCAAAACATTTTAAAAAAAATTTAGATACAATCAAATTTAAAGTAAATAAGAATTTTAAAGAGATATGTGAAAAAACTTATTGTAATTGTAATAGTAAATTTTTATCATGTTATTGTGATCAAGCTAAAGATAGAGCATCAAAATCACCAGAAACACAAAGAGAATTAGATCAATTAACAGAGTTTCATAATGAAAGTTTAAAGAATTCAGAAAGTAATTGGAAGAAAAGAGATTTATTATATTACTGTTTTATACAAAGAGATTCAGAGGCTCAGGTTATTTATGATTTTATCAGTCAAGTTTGTTCTTTTTATAAATTATCATTCGAGTCAATGTTAGATATTGGTTGTGGTTTAGGTCGTATGTTTTCCGAATGGGAAAATTCAAAATTTGAAGTCATAGAAGCATTCGAACCTGATATCGACTATTATAAATTTGCTTATAATTTTTCAAAAAATACATGTAAGTAAAAAAAAAAACAAATATAATATTTATTTGTGAGTGTAAACTAATTGTTTATTATTTTTATTGTAGGTAATAGGGTAGAAGTTTATCAATTTGGATTTTTAGAATTAAATGTTTTAGAAAGATACAATTTAATATGCTCAATTCATGGACCATTTCATTATTTGGACAGTTTAGAGGATAGAATAAAAGCAATGAAAAATATGTATGATGCTCTTAAACCAGGCGGTATTGTTTTAATAGATATTTCAAATTTCATGTGTGGTCTTTCAAATATTATGAACAATAAACAACAACGTAAAATGATAAACGGTCAATCAGTCATTCGTACAAGTAATATCAAAGTGGATGCTTTTCATGGCAAATGGTATGTGGATGATATATTCTTTAGCGTGGCCGAGCCATTCCATGACACCTGTGAAGATCGTGGATCGTTTGGTAATGGTCATTTAGTAGTCGAAGAATTGTGTTTCTCTATTATCTCCAAACCAGAACTAGAACTACTTATGATAAGCACAGGCTTTAAGAATATCAAATATGCATCTCAATGGGACTTTTCCTCATTTTTAGAAGATGGTGGCAATTCTGTTAATAACCAGGGTCACAGAATTATTATGACTGGCCAAAAACCTTTCAATAATTAAAAAAAAAAATAATAAACTTTTAGATTTTTATTAATTTTGTTAAAATTATTTTGTGTAAGAATAAAAGTTTTATAGCATCACTTAAAATCACTAAGGTGATGATAAGTGACCATATTGATTAATTTTTTTTTACTTTTTTTTAACTTTAAAATCACTGACAAAAGTTTATTGACTTTTTTTGAATACTCAATATTAGTATTTTTTTCTTTCAATATTTACAAAGATTTAAATATTTTTATTTCATCATTTTTTTATTTTTTTTTTATATTTTTTTTTGTTTGAGTTTTTTTATTTTTATGAATTTTTATTTTTCAATTTTTTTTAATTTTATTTTTATTTTTTGATCATAATCATATTAAAAGATATATTATTTTTAATAATATTCCAAACTAAGCTTGGTGTTTCATAATATGTTCTCTTTAAGAAAACATTTTGGTGATGAATTAAATAATATAATTTGGTTAGTTTTATTATGTAGGTATTATTCATAGTTTATAAAATACATACAAAATAATATTGATAAACTAATTATTATCGTCTTGGTTTTTTTTATATACATATTTTTAGATTTAGTTCAGGGTATACCTATTGGTTTGTCATTTGGAACTATACCGTTTCTTTTACACAAACATGCAAGCTACACACAACTGGGTATATTTTCAATAAGTACATATCCATATTCACTAAAATTACTATGGTCACCAATAGTAGATTCATATTTTTTTAAATCGTTTGGAAGAAGAAAATCATGGATCGTACCCATTCAAGTCTTAACAGGACTTATGTTTGTATCGATGAGCTTTTTCATAACAGACTATATTGAGCATGTAGAAACCAACATCATCCCGATTTCACTGTTATTTTTTACTTTAATATTTTTAATGGCCACTCAAGATATTGCAGTTGATGCTTGGGCACTCTCAATTTTATCAAAACCATATTTACATTATGCATCAACCTGTCAGGTAAGCAAATAGAATATTTTAACCAATCAAATAGAAAAAAAAAAAAACATAATATTAATTTATATTACTTTTATAGACAATTGGTTTAAATACAGGTTTCTTTTTATCCTATACTATATTTTTATCCCTCAGCTCACCACATTTTGCAAATAAATATTTTAGAACAACTCCTTCAGATCAAGGTTTAATAACACTCGAGGGATATTTAAAGACATGTGGCATATTTTTTATAATTTTTAGTTTATATTTAGCATTCTTTAAAGGTGAAGAACCAATTAAAAAACGAACTGATTTTATGTTAGATGCACATCAAACTCAACAGGATTTGGATGATGAAAAAAAACCAAATAAATTAAATAGTAACGAGTCATATACCCATAATAGCGTTGAAGACGAATATAACAATAATAAAAAAAAATCAATTGTTCAAGAAACTTATGGAAGTGATATAAGCGAAGCTGATTTAACACCAAAACAAGTTTATAGATTACTTTGGAAAATCATAAATCTCCCACACATTAAAACATTATCAATAATGTTTATAGTTGCAAAAATAGTCTTTCAGCCCAATGATTGTGCATTAAGCCTAAAACTTTTAGAAAAAGGACTAAGTAAAGAAGACATTGCCTCATTTTCTCTAATTCAATTCCCAAGTGTAATTTTATTTTCAATTTTTTCAAGTAAATGGGTTAAAAACAATCCTTTAACTATTGTAACTATTAAACTCTATTCTTTATACTATTTATAATTTATATTAACAATACAAATTATTTATTTTTTTAAAATAGTGGAGCAATTCATATTTAGTTGGTACATTCTTTGTGTTAATCAATCTTTTAAGTGTTATATTTTTCCCAAATTTTAATGGCAATGAAATCAGTTGGAACTATTTCTTTTTATTATTGGTTATCCATTTATTATCAACATTTTCATATAATCTATTATCAGTTGCACAAGGTTCATTCTTTTTAAAGATTAGCGATAAGAGTATTGGAGGAACCTATGTTACTTTATTAAACACCATTGCAAATTTCGCAGGAACTTACCCAAAAGTTTTTATTTTAATGTTAATAGATAGACTTACTGTCAGCCAATGTACTGTAATATTACCAGAATCATCCGAAGAAAGTTATATTAGTGGCACAGAACAAGCCACTATAATAATACATAACAATATTTCAAAAGATTCATGTTTAGAGCAAAAAGGAATATACACAATTGAAAGAGATGGTTATTATATGGTCACAATGGTGGCTTTTGTCTATGGTATCTTTATGTTTTTTGTTTTAAAAAAATATTTAGTGCCAATAGAAAGATTAAAACTTTAACAATTATAATAAAATTCGTTAATTTTATAAGAAAAAAAAAAAAAACAATATAAAAGCTATTTTGTTTTATATTTATTTATTATCTTTTTTATCTACACTATTTTTATTTGTTTTATATATTTATCTCGTTTTAATGTTTATTATTATTAAATTTATTAAAAACTGATGAAACTGCTTGGTGAACATCTAAAACAAATTCATAAGTTAAAAACATAATACAAGAATTAGGAACAACTCTGATGAGATGTGGGCCTAAACCACCGAATAAACCTCTAAGACCTTCTTCCTTTGCTACTAAATATAATGTTTGAAGTACAGTTTTATATTTTGAAACGGTACCAGGTTTTACTTGTTCTCTTAGACGAGTTCTAACTACTTCGTGTGGATATGTTGAAAATGCTGCTATTAATTTTGCTACACCAGCAGATATAAGATACTCAGGTGTTGTTAATTCGTTTGGATTTTCGTGACCATTTTCACGTTTTAACTTTAAAATACCATTTTTAAAACCTTCATAGAGAACAAATTGGAATGCTGATTCCGATACTGAAATTAATGAAGCACCTAAACCTTTATAGAAACCTAATGGACCCTCTTCACGTACAATTGAAAAACAACAATGAAGAAAACCTTTATATTGTGTACCTTCATTAAAATTCTTTAATGAAGTTTGTAATTGCATACGAGTTTTAATCAACCAAATGGGTGATGTCACTATCGCTACTGCACTACCAGACGTAACTGCGCTGGTAATCCATAATGTTGGACCATCTGTATATCCTAATTTATTCATAACTGATTTGGTTAAACTATATGTGCTAAAATGAATTGCTCTTGCTGGTACTACACCCGATAAATGAGTACCCAATCCTTTAAATAACCCTCTTTTTCCATCTCTTTTTACTAAATGATATAATGAATAAAATGTAGTTGGCATAAATCTTGGTTTATCTTTAACTAATAACATTGAGTTTTTTGCTTGAAGTTGAGTTTTAATAACCTCTAATGGAGATGTACAAATAACACCCATTGCTCCACCTGCTCCACCTGCTATAAAGTGTAATACCACATTTTTTGATCTAAGTTTCTTCTTATTGTTACCATTATTATTATTATTATTATTGTTGTTTTGTATATTATTTTGCATTTGTTGAATATTTATTATATTATTACTATTAGGTTGCAGTGTCATAGTACCCCCATTACTTGGGGCTGCTGATAATGATGTCAATATTGAGAATGGAAACATTTATCTATATTATTGATTTTAATTTATTTTATTATATGCACACTTTTTTTTTTTTAATTTTGAAAAATAGTAAATGATCAAAAAAAAAAAATTTTATTTTTTTATAAAAAATTTTTACGAATCCAATTATCGTAATTTATTGTCATATGAATTATTTTTTATTTATATAATATATTAAAAATAATAACTTTATTTATTTTACCAATTATTTATCGGATACGGTGTATAAACAATATTTAATTTCAAAACAAATAATAATAAAAAAAAAATTAAAAATAAAAAAAAAAATAAAAATTTTTATTTATAAATCTAAATTATTATTTTATAAAATAAATTATCATTGATAATAATAATCAAAAAAACAATTTACGCAAAAAAAACGAAAAAAACGAATGGTTATTTTTTTTTTTTTTTTTATTTTAATTTTTTTTTTTTTTTAATTTAAAATTTTTAATTTATTTTATTTTTTTTTTAAAATTTTTATATTTTTAGTTTTATAGTTACCAAAAATGATATCAATTATAATAAGAAATAATAGAAATATTTTAAAACCATCATCAGTTTTATTGAGAGGTTATTGTTCAAAAAATAATGGATTAAGTACCGAAATTAATGATTTACCAATTTATTATCATCGTGATTTACATTCAAATAAAGATATCTATTTAATTGGTTCCATTCATGTCAGTAAAAATTCAGCATATCAAGTACAAAAATTTATTCAAGATATTAAACCAGATACAGTTGTTTTGGAACTATGCGAAGAAAGATACCAAAAGATTAAAAAGGATTTATATTCACAAGATCTCAGTACCTATGAAAAACAAGAAATGCCTAAAATTCCATTTTTAGAATCTCTTGGTGGGGGTTTTTTACCAGGAAACTTTTTGGAAATGGCCAAAAGATTTTATAAAGGTATTAGAATGCTAGGTTTAACACCAGGTTTAGAATTTTTATTTGCAATTAAAGAGGCTAATAAATTGGGTGCCAATATTGTATTGGGTGATACAAGCGGAAGAGATACTATTGCAAAGGTTACAGCTGCTATGAAGAGTGAAATTATGCCAAAGCAAGATAGTTATGAGCTTGGAAAACTTAGTCAATATTTAGGCCCAATCTTTGAAAAACTTTCAAAAGACAATGTAACAGAAAAGGAACTCGAAGACGAATTTAAAAAACTTTTAAATAATAAAACATTAAAAGAAATTAGAACCATCTTTGAAAAAGAACTACCATTCACCTACGAAGCCATTCTTTTAGGTAGAGAAAGAAATATGGTTAGATCAATTAAACAATCAAAAGGTAACACAATTGTCACTGTTGCTGGTGCACTTCATATTGATGGTATCAAAGAATTATTAAACTTGCCACTCGATAAAATCCCAACACCTTTACCACCACCACCACAATCCGCAATCAACTCAATGTTGTCTGGTCTCTTATCTGGTGATATGAATAGTTTAAATAATAATAATAATAGCAATAGTAATAGTAATAATAATATTGGAAATATAAATAATTTATTAAATAATGACAATATAAAAAATATGTTAAATAATGACAATTTTAAAAACATGTTAAATAATGACAACTTTAAAAATATGTTAAATAACAACAATAACTTTAACAACTTATTAAATAATAACAATAATAGTAGTAATAATAATGTTAGTAATATTAAAAATTTATTTGGTAAATTTTTAAAACCAAAAGATTAAATTAAATTATTATATTATTAAAATAAAATAATTTTTATATTTATTTTGGTATTAACTAGTGATTAAAAATTATCGTTATTCTCAGATAATAAAATGATATTAATACCATTATTTTATTTATTTTGTTTGTATTTTTTTTATACTATTAGCCACTCTTTGTAAAGAGTGTTTCCAGCTATTCCACGTGGAGGTTAGTATATTGGAGCCAAATGGTTAGTTATTTATACCTTCAGGCAGTATAGATAATTAAACACCATATTGAAAACTTGTGGTTAATTATGTATGTATTATACTAAATGTATGAAAAAAGTGAAAAAATAAAACAAGTGAAAAGATTGAGGAAAAAATACAAACAAATAAATGTAATGAAAATATTGAATAAAAAAATACATATACAAATATATTGAAAAGAGTGACTTGATTTGACTTGATTGAATAGTTGTAAAAAAATTTAACTTGTACTTAATGCAAATGATGTTTTGAGTTTGAAAGCTAAAATTTTTTTTAAAGCACTTGTTTCTTGTTGGTGCTTGATATATTTGAATGATACACAATGGTTGATATTTTTATATGCTCAATAATACTTGATAATTTTTAATGATCCATTATATATGATATTCTTGAATGTTACATAATACTTGATATGTTTTAATGATCCAATAAAAAAATTACTTTATAATTATTATACATAAATCTTGATATTATTAAATGATCGAAACCAAATGTATATTCTTGAATGTGTATAATGACAATTTTTTAATGATCCAATAAAATAACTTATAATCATTGTACAATAAATATTGATATTATTGAATGATCCAAACCAATTGTATATTCTTGAATGTGTATAATGATAATAAATTTTATAAAATTATGATATCAAAATAAAAAAATCCTTATTTGTCTTAATGATAAATAATCCTTGATATTTATAATGCTAAATAATCCTTGTTTATATTTTAATGATACACAATTGTTGATATTTTTATATGCTATATAATTCTTGATACTTATAATTATCCATAATATTTGGTATATTATGAATGCTACATAATACTTGATAATTTTTAATGATCCACAATATTTAATATTCTTGAAAGAAACACAATGCTTGATATGTTTTAATGATCCAATAAATAAATTATCTTATTTAGTATACAATAAATCTTGATATTATTGAATTATCCTATCCAATTGTATATTCTTGAATGTGTATAATGATAATAAATTTTATAAAAAATAAATTTTAGTTTAATTTTAATAATTAAATGCTAAAAAATCCTTTATATGTTTTAATTCTAAAACCCTCGATATATTTTGATATATATATATATATATATTAAAACTTGATATGTTTTAATGCTAAAAAATCCTCGATAGTTTTAATGCTAAAAAATCTTTATATGTTTTAATGATAAAAAACCCTCGATAGTTTTAATGCTAAAAATCCTTGATATATTTTAATGATTCAATATAGTTTATATTTTTATATGCTATATAATACTTGATATTTTTAATTATCCATAATATTTGGTATATTTGAATGTTACACAATACTTGATAATTTTTAATGGTCCATTATATTTAATATTCTTGAATGTTACAATATTTGATATTTTTTAATTATTCAATAAAATAATTACTTTATAATCATTGTAAAATAAATCTTGATATTATTTAATGATCCAATCCACTTGAATGAGCAGAATGATAATAAATTTTTTAAAACTATGGCCCATTATAAATTATCAAAATAAATAAATAAAAATTATAGTTGAATTTTAATAATAAAATGCATAAAAATCATTTATATGTTTTAATGCTAAAAAATCCTCGATAGTTTAAATGCTAAAAAATCTTTTATATTCTTAATGCTAAAAAATCCTCGATAGCTTTAATGCTAAAAAATCCCCTATATGTTTGGATGTTTTTTTTTTTTTTTTTTTTTAAATGATATGCTTTAATAATCTAAAATAATTATTTTGATCCAATAAAAAGATAGCTTTAATGCTAAAAAATCCTTGATAGTTTTAATGCTAAATAATCTTTTATATGTCTTTATGCTAAAAAATCCTCGATAGCTTTAATTCTAAAAACCCCCTGATTTTTTGTATTTTTCAATTTTTTTTTTTTTTTAGTTTTTGGCCCCTCTTTGGAAAGGGGGTTTCCCGGTTTCCCCCGGGGGGGGTGGGTATTTGGGGCCGGGGGGTTAAAAATTTTAACCCTCAGGCGGGGAAAAAAATTTAACCCCATTTTTTGGGTTAATTACTTTTTCCCCCCCGCGGGAAAAGCGAATTTACCCTGGTTGGGGGGTTATTTGGTTTTTCCCCCCCCCGGAACGGTAATTTACCCCCCCTTTTTTAAAGGAGGGGGAGGGGGGGGGGGGGGGGGGGGGTTTTTTTTTTTTTTTTTTTTTTTTTTTTTTTTTTTTTTTTTTTTTTTTTTTTTTAAATAAAATACTTACCTTATAATGATTATTTTGATCCAATAAAATACTTACCTTATAATAAAACTTTATAATCTTGAATGATCAAACCCACTTGAATTTACCTGAATGTGTATAATGAAAAAAAATAAATTTTATGAAATTATTTTCTTTAAATATTTTTTAGTTTTTTAAAAAAAAAAATATAAAAAAAAATAAATTTAATTCAAAATTAATTAATTAATTAATCTATAACTATTTCCTAATTTATTTAAAACATCAATTCCAAAATAAGTAAAATTTGTATTGAAAAAAAAAATATAGATCTGCTACATCAAATTGGTAATAATTTGAAACAGGGGAGGTTTTTTTTTTTCAAAATTTTTTAATTTTCAAATAAATTAAACACATCTTCCTTTTAAAGAAATCATTTTTCCATTTATATTATTTTATTATAATTGATATGTGGAAAAGGAATAAAGTAAGAATTTGGTAGTTCATTATATGATAATCAAATTGGTATGATAGCTGAATGAAAATACAATAAAAAAAAAAAAAAAAAAAAAAAAAAAAAATTTATTTAATTTTATAAATTTAATTTTTTTTTAAATTTCTTTAAAATTTTTTAATCATTTTTTTAATTACAATGAGCGCTTTTTTTTATTTTTTTTTTTTAAATTTGAATTTTATTAATTAAAATATTTTTATTTTCCTTTTCAAAAACCTTCACAAAACCATATTGATAAATCTAATATTATGGCGCTATTTTTCACTTGTGTTGATGCTTATATTAGCACCTCTTTGTTTCGCACATCACCATTAATCTAAAAATATAATATAAAGGTTGAATTATTGTTTTTTTTTTTAATCTTTCATTTTTTTTTTTTTTTTTCATTCTGAATAATATTAATAATAAAAACCTTGTATATTTTCAATTTTATTTTTAAAAAAACATAATAAATGCACAAATTTTTTTTATTAATTATTATCCTTTTTTAGTGATTCCAATAGAGTAAATTAACAGAAGTTTTATTAATATTGACCCTATAATAATCTGGTTTACAATCATTACTATAGTAAGGGTTGATAATATTTATTTCTTTTGGTTTATAATCTCTTGTTTTGAAATTAATTCTTTTGCTTGAGTACAGGTTTCAAAATTGGTCCAAATTGATACCGAATAGACGTCATAATTGAATTGTGGGTCACTTAAAATTTGTAATGAGGTTTTAAGATCTTCTAAATTTGAAATGTTTAGCATTATATTTCTATTTTGACTTAAAGCATTTGATAATTGCTAATAGATATTTAAAATCGAATCTTTGATCTCTTATACTTGTACTTTGAGAAAAACCTTGAATTAAATCTTGATTAAACTCTTATTGGACCAAATTTAAGTCTTCAGATACTAATGAAGGATTGGAAAGAATTGTTTTAAAACTTTTATAAACCAATGGTAAATATAAACCTTGATAATTTTCATTGCAAATCATATATTAATAAGATTTGTGAAAATTTAACACCAGAAATATATATAGATTACTTTTTTTATTTTAAAAATAAAAATTATAATATCATATCTATCTTTACAGTACACATTCAGGTAAATTCAAGTGGATTTTTAAATAAAATATAGATTTTACATTAATTAATAAAGATTAAAATTTATTACTTATTCAAATTAACTTTTTCTTTTTTTTATTTTTTTATTTTTATTTTTAGTTTTTTAATGGCTCTTAAAATATTTTCATTTAGTTTTCCAATGACTCTTTATTTAATTATTTAGCTCAATTTAAATCTACATATATTTTTAGAAATATATCACCATATACGTATCCACAGGGGATAATGAAGAAAATGTAAAGCTTATGGAACAATAGTACAGAACCACTACCATAACAAATCCAAATAGAATTATGCTAATCTTTGACTATCAATCAAAGAATCAATATTTCCAAATCTTTTTTATTGATAGGCATTTTAAAAAAGATCAGGAAATATTGATAATTTGATTGATAGTCAAAGATTATTTATCAAATGAAGAATTCAATTTACCCTATACACCAAATAATAATAACAATAATGATAGTGATACTAATAACAATAATACTGATAACCAAGATAAAACAATTCAAAAAATATCCAAATCATTTTGTGCAGATGTTCCCTAAATTTTGTTTTTTGTTTGAAACGATACAAATGATATTGAAGAAAGCACCGATATGAACGTACAACCTGGATCCAAAACCAAAAGATAAAGAAAACCAACTTCTACACAATAAAATTTAAATAACAAAAAACTATTATTAGAAAAATTCCATGTTAGTGGTCAATTTAAAAACGATTAATAAAGTGTATTTTCTGTTGTATAAAAAAAAAAAGGTTTATTTATTTTTATTTATATTTATTTAAATTTCTTCCTCTGGGAAATCACCAACTTGAATATTCTTTGGTTTAGCAAAACATCCATATTTTGGTGAACAGGTGAAATATCTTTTACCTTTAACTGAACCATCGTTTTTACCTAATGGTAAATCCAATTCGACACCAACCCAATAGCCAGCACTAAAATCAGTTGTACCAACAAATGCAACCTTTCCTAATCTTTCGTCATAGTTTGTTGGATCGTCAGATAAAACTTTACATCTATCACCAACTTTGATTGATTCTGATGGATCTGAATTTTCTTCTTGTTCTTGTTGTTGTTGCTTCATTAAACTTTGTTCTTCTCTATATTTTTTTACAGTATTTTCACGTTTATTATAATCCTCTTCAGAGATAACTGGTTTTGGAATTTTGGATGTATCTTGTAATTCTGAAATATAACTATTTGGATCTTTATCGATAATATGAATATTCATACCATCAATTGGTGAATAAAAGCTTAAAAGATTTTCGTCATTATCAATTTTTGAAATTTCATTTGTTTTTGATTGATCTTTTAATATTAATTCCATATATTTTGGTTCAGTACCTACAAATCTATATAACTATAATAAAAAATGATAATTTAATATATTTTCTATTTAGTTGATAAAAATGATTACATTTTATAGTTACCTTTTCTTTGAAATCTTTAATTTTAATATCAAGTGGGAAATTTTTAAAATTATTTGTGCCCAATAAATCGTCTGATAATACTGAATGGGTAACTTCTAATCTAACACATCCTTCTGGTGCTTTACCAACTAAATTATCATTACCATCAAGTACATAACTTCTTAATATTTCATAATCTGACTTTTTTTCCATTTTATTTGCTAATGTAATAAAATTTAAAAAAAAAATTGAAAATAAAGTTTTTTTTTTTTTTTTTTTTTTTTTTATTTTTTAATATTTAAATATTTTAATATTTTTTTATTTTTTATATTTTTTTTAATTTCTATTTTAATATATTCCATATATATATTTATTCCATTTATTAATATTTATTTTATAAAATATAATAAAAATATTATATATTTATATATTTATTAAATTTTTTAACTCTATAGCATTATTATTTTTCATATTAATATCATTTTGGTTATTATAAAAAAATTGATATTTTTAAAAAAAAAAAAAAAAATTTTCCAAAAATTTTTTATTATTTAAATTTTTTTATATTTTTTTATTTTTAATTATTTTATTTTCTTTTTTTGTGTTTGTGTGTTTTTTATTCTTATTATATATATTGTTTGTGTGTGTGTGTTTAGTCTCTTTATTTGTTTTTTTATATAAAAATATATTAAAGTGTACTCTTTTTGTTGTATCATATATATATTTTTAAAAAAATCAAATAAAAAAAAAAACAACAGTAATTAAATAGTATTAATAACAATAAAAATGATTGAAAATAGAGATAACATCAATGTTCTCGATCTTCAAAAGGAGTTAGAAGAATGTAGATTAAAATTGGAAAGTGCATTAAAAGAGAATCATGATTTAATTCAATCTGTACAAAAACTATCAGTTACCAATGAAGAATTACAAACAAAATATGAAACTATCATTAGTAAATCTGTTCCAAAAACATCATCATCAACATCATCATCATCATCATCTACTACTACTACCACTACCACTACTACTGCAACCATCTCATCAAAACCAGTTAAAGCAACAACTACTACTGGAAGACCATCAATTGGTGGAACTACATCAATTTCATCACCATCCAAATTAAAACCATCAACTAGTACCACAAAGTCATCATCATCCACTACTACCACAAAACCATCAACCACTGTTGCTCCATCAAGACCATCAGTTGCTTCAGCAAAACCAACCACAACCACAGCATCAAAACCCTCAATTTCAAAACCATCAGTTTCAAAACCATCAACTACCAAAGCCCCATCAACAGCTGCTGTCAAGACTACCACCGTTGCTAAACCAACCATTACTGCCACTAAATCAACACCAACCATCATCAAGCCAGCTGTTTCATCATTGGTAAAGCCAACCCCTTCAACCACTTCAAAGGTTTGTATAGTATGATTCATAGCAATTATATTTTAAAACTATATACTAATAGTATTTTTATTTAGAAACCCAGCAGCTGCCCCTTTAGGCAAAGGTCTTGTTAAAACTGAATCAAAACCAGCTCCATCAGCTGTTAAGAAACCAATTTCCACAAGTACTACAACATCTAAAGTTTTAAACACCAACCAAACCAGTTTCAAAACCAACTACTGTTAGCAAAGTTCCTGCCACTACTACAGCATCTAAGATTTCAACACCAACCAAATCAGTATCAACTGCATCCAAGACATTAACACCAACTAAATCTACTACTACTGCATTAAAAAAACCAGAAACTAAAGTTGCATCTCCATCAAAAGTTAAAGTTGATATTAAACCAACAGTTGCTGCTGAAAAACCAGTAGAAACCACTGTCAAGGTTGAAGAGCATGTCGAAGAACCAATTGAACAAACCCATAATGAAGAAAAAGAGGAGAAAAAAGATGATATTATTGCTCAAGAGCCAATTGAACAAATTCACGAAGATCAACACAATTCTGAAGAAGAAAAAGAGGAAGAGGAAAAGGTAGAAGAAGAAATTATTGTTGAACAAACTCACGAAGAAGAAGAAAAGGTAGAAGAAGAAATTATCATTCAACAAAACCATGAAGAAAATGAAGAGGTTGAGAGTGAAAAGTCATCTGAACAAGAAGATATTGAAGAACATATCCAAGAGGAACCAATTATTAATGAAAGTGATAACCAATATATCGAAAACAAAATTTTAGAATTCAAACTTAATAATGATATTAATTTTGATGAAGAAATATTAATTGACGAGGAAACCACCAAAGAAGAAGACCTTTTTTCAGAATCAACCAAATCAAAAGATGCTTCAGATAATGAATCTGTTGAAGAACCAAGAAGAGAAGAGGTTTATGAAACTGAATCTATCGATGAAAATAAAGAAAAAGAAGAAGAAGAAGAAGAAGAAATTATTGTCAATCAACAAGAAGAAAAAGAAGAAACAGCCCAACCAAATCAAGAAGATAATTTCATTGATGAAATTAAACCAAATGAAGAAGAAACAGCTACAGAAAATAAAGAAGAGGAATTAGTTGTTGAAAAGATTGTTGTTCCAGAAATTACTGAAGAAAAAGAACCAGAAACAATTGAGGAAAAAGAAGAAAAAGAAGAAAATATTGTAGTTTCAGAAGAGGAACCAATTGAAGAACCAGTCGTCGAAGATATTAAAGAAGAGGAGCCAATTATTGAAGAGGAACCAGTTGTTGAAAATATTAAAGTAGAGGAACCAATTGAAGAGGAGCCAGCTGTTGAAGAGGTTAAAGTAGAGGAACCAGTTGTTGAAGAGCCAGTTGTCGAAGAATCAGTTGTCGAAGAACCAGCTGTTGAAGAGCCAGTTGTCGAAGAATCAGTTGTCGAAGAACCAGTTGTTGAAGAGCCAGTTGTCGAAGATGTTAAAGTAGAGGAACCAGTTGTCGAAGAAACAGTTGTTGAAGAACCAGTTGTTGAAGAGCCAGTTGTCGAAGAATCAGTTGTTGAAGAACCAGCTGTTGAGGAACCAGTTGTTGAAGAACCAGCTATTGAGGAACCAGTTGTTGAAGAACCAGCTATTGAAGAGCCAGTTGTTGAAGATGTTAAAGTAGAGGAATTAGTTATCGAGTCATTTGTTGTCGAAGAACCAGTTTCAGAACCAATTACCGAGTCTGTTGCTGAGCCAGTTTTAGAACCAGTTGCAGAACAACTTACTGAACCATTTGTTGATACAGTTGAATCAGATGATAAACCAACAGAAGAGCCAGTTTCAGAAACAATTGACGAAGAAAAAGTCCAAGTTCCAGAAATCTCAGATGATGAACCAACCAAAGAATCAATTACTGAATTAGAAGAATCAAGTGAAGAAGACGAAGAAATCGTTGAAGTCCCAGAAATCCCACAAGAAACAATTGAAGAAGAGCTCATCCAAGTCCCAGAAATCCCACAAGATTTAGAAGAATTTAAATTTGAAGAAAAAAATAAAGATCTTGACTTTACTTTTGATCAAAACAACGTTAGTGAACAAGAATTATCATTCGAAGTAACAGAAAACACATTTAAACTCGACTTTAGCTTTGAAGATTTCAAAACAACAACCAACGAAAACACCAATAATACTGAAGATAGCACTTTAGAACCAATTCCAGCCACTGAAAAAATAAACAGTTTCAGTTTTAATGAAGATCTCGTTGATTTAGACTTTTCAGCTTCTACTAACAATGCTAACATTGTTATTGGTGAGGAAAACAATAATGAAGATGATGAAATGTTCTAAATATTTAATCAAAATCATAAAAAAAACAAATAAAATATTTATACAAATAAAAATAATAAATAAAAATAAATTTTTTTTTTTTTAGTATATGTACAAATTAATAAACTTTAATTTCCAAAAGAAAAAAAGAAGAAAACTATAAAATTATTTTTTTAAAGATTATATTATGGGTGTTTGTTCTTGTGTTTTTTATAGATTCTAATTCATCTCTAATTCTTTACTATTGGTTCTAATCTTATGGCTTGAATTACACTCCTTTTTGCAGAGTCAAATTGTTTATTTAATGCATAAGCTTGGCCCATTCTAAAATAAAATTTAGCAGTATTTCCACCCAATTCTAAAATTTTTTCACATGTCGAAAGTGCTCTCTTTCCATCTTTTAATTTGATATGGCATGAGGCTAAATTTAAATATAATACAATAAAAGTTTCTTTGAGGAGTTTATCTTCGCCCTCGTTTATACCCAATGTTTGCTCTGGGTCACTTAAAATCCAAATACCTTTTACATAGTGTCTAATTGCTTTTTTATAATTTGTTTTATTATAGAATTGATTACCAGTTTCTTTTTCTTCTTTTGCTCTTGTGATTAATGCTTCAAAATTATTATAGTCCTAGTTGTTTAAAAAAAAAAAAAGAAATTAATAAAATAAACTTTACAAAATTTAAAAGATAATAATAACATTTACATTTTGTTTGAATTTAAAAGATAATAGTTTAATTTTAAAAATAACTGAAACATTTGGTGGTATATATGGTGGTAAACCTAACTTTCCAAAAGCATATTTTTGAGTGCTAACAATCTCAGCCTCCTGACCTACTTTCATTGTAGGTACTGCCATCTCTATAGCCTCTACAACTGACGAAGTGCCCAATTGAAATGTAAATGGTAAATTTCTTTGTAAAGATGAATCAAACAATTGATTATTTGATAAATATGCTTCATAATGTACAGTGACTAAACTTCTTGGTGGGGGTAACTCACCATACCCCTCTTTAATGACTCTTTTGACTAAACAACCATCTGAATCCAATTGAATACCTGCTGATTTTCTTTGTTTATCTGGTGTGCTATATGTTGATCTTGGTGATGGGGATGGTGATGAGGATGATGACGATAATGAAGGTGATGAATTTAATGATGATAGTGATAAATTCATTTTTAATTTAATTTTATCTTTTCAATTTACTTCTTCCACTATTACAATTAATATGTATATATATGCTATTATTTTTATTAATTAATCAATAAAAAAACCAATTAATTTATACAATAACAAAAAAATAAAATAATAAAAATGTAAAAAATATAGAAAAAAAAAATAAAAAAAAAATAAAAATTCAAAAAAAATTCAAAAAAAATATTTTTAAATCCAGGTCGTGGTAATTTACAAAAATTTATTAATATAAAGATTAAATAAGATATGAAATTGAACAGAAATAAATTAATAAAAATATCGGAGTTAAAAATCCCCAAACGTTCCAAAAACCAATTATTGCACTATGAAATTATAATTTAATAAAATAAAAAAAGAAAAAGGTTAGTATATATTAATAAAAATGATATAAATAAATAAAAGATAAATACCAAATTGTAAATATTACTAAACAAATTGTAGCAGCTGGAATTACTAATGGATGAAGTTTTTCCCAATCGGTATTAGCTCTTTTATCTTCAACTTTGGAAAAATAGGCACAATAAACATATAATATTATAAATCCGACTAAACCAAGAATACTAATATTAAAATAAAATCTATATAAATTTAAAATTTTAGTTAATATTTTATATTTTATATTTTATATTTTATATTTTATATTTTATATTTTATATTTTATATTTTATATTTTATATTTTTTCCATACCTATTTACATCGCTACTATATAAAATAACATTAATCAAATCTGTTTTATACGCTGTGATTGAACCAAAAGAAAGCCAAAATATATACTCTAAAACTCTAATAACTTTTTTTGTAACTGGGTGATCCCAAAATCGATTATAGGGTCTTGGCTGCTCCACTTGTTCAGCCTCAAACTCTTTAAAAATATTATCTATATTTTGAAAAATTTCATTTTTGTTATTTACATTTAAATTTTCATTTTCTTCATTATTTATTTTACTATTGCTGCTATTGCTGTTATTGCTGTTATTGTTATTATTAACTTTGGTTGGTTTCCTTTGTTTTACCATATTAATTTAATTAAGATTATAATGAGCGTCACCAAAAAAATATTTTTTAATTTAAAAAAAAAAAAAAAATTTTGAAAAATTTAAAATTTTTTTATTTTTTTTTAAATTTTTATTTTAATATTTAAATAACTTGATCATCATGGTATATATATGCTTATATAAATATTAATCAAATAATAAACTTATGACGACATATTAATAATCATTTCAATATACTTTTAGGATTTCGAAGGACAAAAATTTGCAGAGCGTGTTTACCAATATGTAATTATTGCATTTGGTATTATTGGTTGGATCATTGGTTTTGTAAAACAAGATTTTAGCATTACTTTTTATTCTGTAGTTTTGGGTACCTTTTTATCTTTAATTGTAAGTATTATTTGTTTATTGTTTTTATTTTTATTTTATTTTAAAAGTAAATTAAAATTTTAATGTTCATCAATGATTTTCTCTTTAAAATTATTATAGTTATGTTTACCAAATTGGAAGATATACTGTCAACATCCATTATCATGGCAAAAACCACCACAACCACAACCACAACCACAAAAAACAAATTAAAATATAAAATAAAATAAAATTGTATATAGGTTATAATATTAAATAAAAGAAGTTATTTATATAAAATAAGATATAAAATAAAATAAAAAATGAAATAAAAAGATAAAATATAAATATTTAGGTTTTTATTTAATAAATAGGAGGTGGCTTTATTTTTTTTATTATTATACCTTTGTTTTTTAGTTAAAATTAAAATTATTATTATTATTATTATTACAATGTTTTTTATTGATTGTTTGGTTTACTATTTCATATTTTATATATTATCTATATTAGTAGCTATACTATTATTGTTATTGTTATTATTATTATTATTATTATTACTATTATTTACTATTATTATTGTGTATTCTTTACTATTAATTTTGGAGTTCTAAATAGGACATAACACCTAAATCGAGTATTTGAACATCAGAAAAACATTGTGAGCCATCATAACCACCAATTACAAATAATCTGTGATCAACAAAACAACAACAGTGATATCCTCTGCTTTGTGGTGGTGAACCTGTACATTGTTGTTCCTCCCATTGGAATTTATCGAGATTGAAAAATTTTAATGTATTTATATAGTCATTGGCGTTATGACCTCCAAAAACAACAATAGTTTTTCCAATTGAAACGCATGATTGTGATAATAAAGGTGATGGATTTGAAACTGGGAATAAACTCCATGAATTGTTATCTAAAAAATAAAAATAAAAGTAATTATATTAGCTATTGATCCCATTTATCTAATTTTATCAATAGATATATCTATTTTCTGCAGATCTGTATATTTCTATTGCTATTTATCTACCCATTTATCTATATTATCAACTTACTGGTATCAAAAACATAAAAGTCTGAAAAACAATCATTACCATCTGAACCTCCAAAAATTCCAATTTTATTTCCTGATAACAAAACGCTTGAATGATAACCTCTACTACCTGGTATAGCACCTGTTGCTTTAATAAATGTCCATGTTAAAGTTTCTGTATCTAAAACATAGACTTCGTTTAATGCTTTATTTCCATCACCACCACCAAATATATAAATTAATTTACCAATTAAGTTTGCTGTATGTGCTCTTCTAGGTCCAGGTCCATTTCCTAGTGTTGATGGTTTTGTCCATGTTAATGTATCTATAATAAAATAATAAAGATAGTTAGTTTGTAATTGATTACATAAAAAGACTACTTTTTTTAAAATTAAATAAATTAACGCATACTTGTATCTAGGATATAAAGATCTTTAAAATAATTTGGCCCATCACCACCACCAAATATAAATAATCTGTGATCTACTAATGTTGCTGAATGTGCACGATGTGGGTTTGGTATACAACCCTCTGCTCCGCTTGTTTTTGGTTTATGCCAAAACATAGTTTCTTTTCAAAATTTTTATTTTTTTTTTATTTTTTTTTTTGAAAGATAAAAATTAATATCTAGTCTGAAGCTATACATTCCAAATTTTAATTTCCATTCCATTTATAAAAATGAAAATATCCACAGAGTGTCTAATATAAGTACTTACTTGTATCTAAAATTAATAAATCATTAAACCTATCTTGAATATCAGATCCACCAAAAACATAGATCTTACTTCCTACAACTGTGGCAGTATGTGATCTAATACCTTCAAAGGTGATATCACCCTTTGTTTGTGCCTTTGACCAATGCATTAATTTAATATGAGTGTGTGACAATTTATACTTTTGAGGGATGAAAATAAAATGGCTACAAAAAAGAAAGAGTAATAATACAATAAATAAACCAATTATAATAAAAAATAAAAAAATTAAAAAAATTTTATTTTTTTTTTGTTAAAAAATTTTTATTTTAAATTTTTTTTTAAATATTTATAAAAAATCTTTTTTTTTTTTTTTTTTTTTTTAAAATTTTTTTTTTTTTATTTATACAATCTATAAAGCGAAAATAATTTCCAATATCACCAAATTATTCACTCATTTAATCGTCATTGTTTTAGATGGTATTTTATTTTATTTAATTTTATTTTATTTTTTTTTTCTTTGATTTTTTTAATTTAAATTATGATCATTTTCAGATACACACAAAAATGATTTTTTTTTTTAAATTTATATTTTGATTTTTTTGATGGTTTTTTTTTTTTTTTTTTAAATTTAAGCAAATAGATTTTTTTTTTTTTCTCAATTTGAACAAATAATAAAAATAATAATAGGAGTACTATTTTGAATTTATTTAATAATGTTTCCATTAAATCTAATCATGGTTAAATTTTTTCTTTTTTATTTTTATTTTATCTAAGTTTAATTAATTTGTTTAAAAATCCTAAAAAGGAAAAATAAAAAAAAAAAAGAACTATTTGATTAATTTTAAAGTCTTTCAGGTACCACAACAATTTATTTTTTACTTTTATTGTAAAAAAAATTGAAGTTTTTAATTGCATAATGAGGAAATAAAAGGGGTATAAAATGTATGAAAATTATAAATAACATTTTTAAATTTTATAACAAAACAATAATATTATTATTATATTTATTATAGTTTATTTAAAAATAACAGATTTATTTGAATCTTTGGATTTGCTAGAATTACTACTTGCAGGATTTTTAAGTAATTCTATTGGTACTATATTATTGGTTGCTGTAAGAATATTTTTAAGATCATACATAATTTCGGTATCTTTATCTGATATGAAAGAAGTTGCAAGACCAGATGAACCAGCTCTACCAGTACGACCAATACGATGAGTATAATCTTCGATATTATTTGGAATATCAAAATTGATAACATGGGTTACACCGTCAACATGAATACCTCTACTAGCTACACCAGTAGCAATAAGTACATCTGAATTCTTCTTTTTGAAATTATCCAAAGCAGCCTCACGCTGTTCTTGAGAACGACCACCATGAAGTATAGTGTAGGAAACACCACATTCTTCTAAAACTGCACCAATATTTTCACAGTGTTTCTTTTTATTGACGAAAATGATGATTGGTGGTGGTGGACCATCTTTAATGAGTTGTACGAGATGTTCTTTCTTGTCGTTTTCAGATTTAACAAATATGACAGTTTGACGAATACGATCTACAACCTTACCAGCCTCACCGATAGTAATAGTACAGGGTCTTCTAAGATATTTTTTAGCGATTTGTTCGACTTGTGGCGGCATAGTGGCAGAGAAAAGAATAGTGGTACGATATACTCTTTCTCTATCGGTTTCTTGTCTTTCTGCGAGTTCTTCATTTTCACTCTTTAAGTTGGTGGAGGGCATTGCATCTAAAACACTGGTAACTTGACTTTCGAAACCTAAATTAATCATCATATCAGCTTCATCCAATACGATATAGTTACATTGATTTAATACTAAATAACGTTTTTGTAAACAATCATTTAAACGACCTGGTGTTGCAACTACAATTTCACAACCTTTACCGAGTTGATATGCTTGTTCTTCGATTGGTTGACCACCCACTAATGATACAACTCTAAAACCATAAAACTGTGCAAAATTACGAGTTTCCTTTTCGATTTGCTGAACAAGCTCTCTAGTGGGAGCCATTACGACAGCATATGGACCCTCTGCTTCAGTTTCTTTGGTTAATCTTGGTTGTTTTGAAATGTAAATACACATTGGGATAACAAAGGCACATGTTTTACCTGAACCAGTTTCGGCAATACCTAAAATATCTCTACCTGAAACACTAACTGGAATAGATTGCATTTGAATGGGTGATGGTTTTTCATAACCGAGATGACGAACAGCATCCAATACTTGTCTTGGTAATGATGATTCTTGCCATGAACGAATAGGATTTGGAACAACACCACCTTTAGTTGAAATATTGAAATCCTCTTTAAAGATGTGCCAATCTCTTTTGGTCATATCTCTTAATTGTTTCTTTGACCAATGAGTATCTGGTAAATCTTTTTTGGATGCTAATTGGTGTCTATCGTATCCACCAAATGTACCGTGACCAAATTGAGGTTGAATATCATATTTCTTTGAATATAATTCATTATAATCTGATGAAGTATCTTCTGATGCATCCCAGTCAAATATAAACTTACCTTTTTCACCTTTAATTTTCTTTTTTGATTCGTCTTTTTTTAAACCCAGATAGTCGTATTGAATATCCCTTAACTCTTCTTCTCTTTCTCTTTTACCATTGATTGGTTCAAAAACTTTATTTGAAAATTGAACTGTATCTTTTTTTACTCTATCTCTATTTAAATCATTACTATTATTACTATTATTGCTATTATTACTATTATTATTATTATTATTATTACCATTGTTATTCATATTATTACTATTTGTTGAATTTCTATTGTCAACATCTCTTCTATCTCTATCGTGTCTATCTCTTCTATCTCTGTCATCGTATCTATCACGACCACCACTATTGCCGCCTCTTCTATCTCTGTCATCGTATCTATCGTTATACCTGTCTCGTCTATCCCTGTCATCATATCTATCACGGCCACCACCTCTTCTATCTCTGTCGTCATATCTATCATGATGGTCATTTCTTCTGTCTCTTCTGTCGTCATATCTGTCTCTTCTGTCACGATCATCATATCTATCATTTCGGTCATATCTTCTATCATCATGTCTATCGTAGTCCCTATCATCATATCTATCTCTTCTATCTCTATGATCTTTGTCTCTATCTTTATCTTGTCTATTTTCTTGTTTTAAACCACCATTTGAAAAAAATTGAACGGGATCAACATTCATTAATTTTTCTTGTAATTCTACTTTTTTTTCATTTTTTGTTTCTAACACTTCTTCTTCGTTTGAAAACACTAAATAATAATAATTGAATATTAGTAATTTATTTTTTTTATTTTTTTTACTTTTTATTTTATTCAAAACTTACAATCTAATGGTTTTAAAGCTTTATTTTCTGTTTTCTTTTTATCTTCCTCCTCTTTCTTTTTTATATTGTTTCTTTTAGAAACAAATGTTAGTTTAGGGCCATCCATTAATATATATAAATAATTATAATTAAAAATCAGAATTTAATTTGAAATAAAAAAATAAAAATAAAAATAAAAATAAAAAATAAAAAATTAATTTTGAAAAAAAAAAAAAAAAAAAAAAAAAAAAAAAAAATTTTAAATTTTAAAAAAATTACATTTGTTGAAATTTTATCAATTAAAGAAATAGCAGTGTAATATTTAGCAATAATAATAACAATAAAGCCTACTTTCTACATTTCCTTATATAATAATTATTAAATAATTTTTATAATTAAAGAAAAAAAATAAAAAATAAAAAATAAAAATTTTTTAATAAAAAAAAAAAAAAACGAGAGTTACACCATTCGTCTTTTTTTTTGCATTAATATCAAAATAGAAATTTAAAAATGGTAGAAATTGTAGGGTTAATATCAGGTGGTAAAGATTCAATTTATAATTTGATGGAATGTGTCAGAAATGGACATAGTATAGTCGCATTAGCAAATTTAAAACCACCAAAACAACAAGAAGAATTAGATAGTTTTATGTATCAAACTGTGGGAAACAATTTAATTGATATTATTGCTAAAGAATGCTTACAACTACCACTATTTCAAATTGAAATCAAGGGTACTGCTGAATCAAAAGATGAGCATTATGTAGAATCTTCAAATGACGAAGTAGAAGATTTATATAACTTATTAAAATCTGTTAAAGATTCAATTCCAACCGTCAAAGGTGTCTCATGTGGTGCAATTTTATCAACCTATCAAAGAATTAGAGTTGAAAATGTATGTTCACGTTTAGGATTGGTTTGCTACTCATATCTATGGATGAGAGACCAAGATACACTTTTACAAGAGATGATTACCTCACAATTAACTGCAGTTATCATTAAAGTTGCATCAATGGGTTTAGAGGCAAATAAGCATTTACTAAAATCGATTCAACAACTTTATCCTGTTCTTAAAAGTTTAAACACCAAATTTGGTGTTCATATCTGTGGTGAAGGTGGTGAATATGAATCAATCGTAGTAGATTGTCCATTATACAAAAAGAAAATTAATATTGAGGATTTCAATACAATTATTCACTCGGATGATGCTTTCTCTCAAGTAGCCTACTGTTCAATTCAAAAATTTTCAACTACTGAAAAGTCACTCGAAGAAATTAACAATCAATTACAATTTTTAGATAGTAACTTTATCAAAAGAAATAATTTAAATCTTTCAACATATAAAGAAAATAAATTACAAGATATAAACAATTTTAATTTTAAAAATAATAATAATGATAATACCAATACCAATACCAATACCAATACCAATAACAACAATAATATAAACAACTTTAACTATAAATTAAATTTAAATAAAAATAATGACTATTTCAATATTTCAAGCTTTTCAATTGATATTAATCAAGAAAATGAAAAATTAACAACAGGTGAATTATTAGAAAAAGCATTAGAAGAAATTTCAAATATTTTAAAGGAAAACTCATTATCAATGGAACAATTGTTATACTGCAATCTTTATTTAAGCGATATGAATGATTTTGCAAATGTTAATCAATCCTATTATAAATTCTTTAAACACTATCCAGCATCAAGGGCATGTATTCAAGTATCGTTAGATAATCAAAATAAAAGATTCTTAATCGATTGCTTTGGTTGCACAAACATTAAAAAGAAATCAATTCTTCATGTTCAATCAATTAGTAATTGGGCCCCAGCATGTATTGGTCCATACTCACAAGCAAATATCTACAATGAATATTTATTTTTAGCAGGTCAAATTGCTATGATACCATGTAATTTAGATTTAAATCTTTGCGAAAGCTACAGCGATGAAAAACTATCCAATCAACAAATACAACTAGAGCAAATTCTCCTAAATACAAATAATTTACTTGATGCATTAAATATTGACTATTCCAAAGTTATCCAATCAACTATTTTTGTATCTGAACTCGTTTCAACTGAAATATCAAACGAAATTATTAAATATTTAAAAGAATTTTTAAATCAAGAAGGTACCGACAGCAATAGTTTAACTCAGTTATTTAGAGTACCAAAATTACCAAAGAATGCCAGTATCGAAATTTTATTCACATTATATAAAGAAAAAAATCAAGATGACTACAGCAATATCGATTGGGAAAACATTAATCAAGAAATTAATAATAATAAAAAAATAGAAAAGGATTTAATTAATCAATTTAATAACAATATGAATTTAAATTCTGGTTCTTCAGATCACAGTTTCAAAATATCAACTTCAACATCATATATTCATTCAAGTCTTTCAAGTAACAATAATAATGACATCAATAATTTAATCGAAGAATACATTAAAGATTTATTATCAAATTTGGAGACCATCCTATCAAAATCTAAAAAATCAATTACATATATCAAGTTTTATTATTTAGAAACACTTTACGAGCAAGGTTTAATTGATAAACTAAACAAACTTATGCCAAACTACAATACTTTTTGTTGCTATATTCCAGTCAAAGAAATTATAAATGCAAATAACAAATCATCTGCAATACAATCAGAAATATTTTTAAATTAAAAAAATAAATATAAATAAGACGCTAATTTTTTTTTTTTTTTCTTTTTTTAGTTTTATTAATGTTGCATTATTAATTTATAATAAATTCTTTTTAAAAATATTATAAATTTATGTACAGAAAATATATATAATATATTAAAAAAATCATATATATATTAAATTATTATTATTGTTAAATTATAAAAACAAATAATTATTATTTATATTATAAAAAAATATAAAAATTAATGATTATTATTGACTATTATTATTATTATTATTATTATTGATTATTATTATTGATTATTATTATTATTATTTTAATATTAAAATTATTAAATTATAAATATTATTAATATTATTATTTATTATTACTATTATTAAATTAAGATTTTAAAGATCTTGCAACTTTAGCAATTTTAACAATTAAATCTTTTTCTGGGATTTTATCACTAGATGAAACGGTTACATCTAAAATTGGTACTCTATAGTTATTATGACTTGGTAATAATTGGAGCATAAGATAAAATAAACCATCTAATGCTGATTCACCTACAATTACAGCGGCATCTCTAAATTGAACTACCTTGTTATAAGTTTCGCCATCAAAGTTGGATGGATGTGGTGATGGATAAACTGCAAGATGAGGTTTGTTTATGGTCTTCTTTGTAGTTTCGTGAATAGTCTCCCAACCAAGTTTTAAGTGCTCTATACATTGAAGTTCTACATCCTTTTTAAAGTTTCTAATCTTTTGACCAAGCTCGATACAATCTTTTAATTCTTTAATTTCTGAAAATGATTTGATTGTATCTAAAAATGACTATAATTTATAAAAAAAAAGATTTATTAATATAACCTAAATAATAGTAAAAATAATAATATAAAAATAAAAACCTACGTAATATAAAACTTTTAAACATTTTAATGTTCTTGATCTTAATTCAATTAATTTTGTTAAATCTTCGTTTTCAACAGACATTTCAAAAGTTGCTGGTGAAGAAGAAAAAAGATCGACTGGGGATGAAGAAAGATTTAAATGATTGTTTTTAATTTCAAATGATGAGGCAGCTCTAATTGGTGGTCTATGTGGTGCACTATTGCCACCAATTGGTAATTGTGGTGTGCTTGAGGATGTTGTTGTAATTGGTTTTGGTCTAGTAGTTGATGGAACAACTCTTGTTGGTGAACTACCAGCAATACCACTATTCAATGGTTTACTTGGTGAAGTAGATGGTGGGATTGGTAAAGGTCTATGTGATGCACCACTACCATTAGTGGTGTTGATACTATTTTGTTTTTCTGAATTTTCGTGTGATTGTTGTGGTTGTTGTTGATTTTCAGTTAGAATTGGTTTAATAAATGAAGAAGTTGAGATTGTGACTGATCTAGCTGGTAAACCTGCAGTTTTTTGTGTATCACTAACAGTAACTTCGGTCATTGCTCTTGATACTTTAACGATTGGGTCACTATTGGTTGTTTGTGATGGGGATGATGAAGATGATGAAGATGATGATGAAGATGATGAAGATGAATTAACACTACCATTACTAGTTGATAAAAAGTTTCTAGCTGGTACAGTGGGTTTACTAATGTTACCATTACTACTATTTAAACTTGGTTGTGGAACTGGTGGTGGTGAATATGCTGGTGGTGATGATGAATGTTGTAACTCTTGTTTTTCAATCCTATTTTGTTGATGTAATACTGAATTTGGTAAAGAAAATGGTGGTGATGGAGTGCCGGCTCTTCTTGGTGTAGTTGGTGGTGAAAGAGTTTGATTAGTTGATGAATTATTTGGTACAATTGGTTGTTGTTGTTGAGTTTGTTGTTGTTGTTGTAATCTTGAGAATAAAAATGAGCCACTGTGTTTTAATTGTGGTATAGATGATGTTTGTGGTGGTGAAGAATTGTTACCGTTATTTGAAGTAGCCAATGTTGTTGAAGATGGTGATGAAGAAATTAAAGATGAAATAGTTGAAGATGATTCAGTTGAACCGCTACTATTACCAAATAAACCCTCAGTCATCACATCCAAAAATGCTTCAATATTTTCAAATGATGGTCTTTTTGTGTGATCTCTGTGAAAACAAGCTTCGATAATCTTTCTTAGATCACCTTCAATCTCTTGTGGAATTGATGGTGGGAGACCTTCTTCTCTAACACGAGCTAACTCCAAGTAACCCAATTGGTCATATTCTTGATATGGTCTTTTGTTGGTAAGGATTTCAATTAAGCAAGCACCATAACTCCAAACATCTGCTGCTCTTGAGAATTTCTTTTGTGTGAAAACTTCAGGTGACATATAAAGGAAACTACCCTCAACAGTTGGACCATAGAAGGAACGTGAAGATGAAGTAGCCAAACCGAAATCAGCCAATTTAATTGATACTGGTGCCTCTGGTGAAATTGAAACAACTAAAAAGTTTTGTGGTTTTAAATCTAAATGTAAAATTTCGTTTCTGTGAAGGAAGCACATACCCTTGGCGATATCACAGGCCATTTTAAGACGAAGTTGAGGTGAGAAGGTATACAATGGATTATGAAGGTATTTATCTAAACTGCCACCCTCAATATACTCTAAAACTAAACATTTTGGTGAAACGCAAAAACCAACAAAATGAACGATATTTGGGTGATGCAAAAGTTCTTTATGCATTTCTAACTCTTTTTCAAATTCACTGCCATCGCTTAACTCTGAAATTACTTTAACAGCTACAGAAAGACCTCTCCATTTTGCTTTGTAGATTGCACCATAACCACCTCCACCGATAACATTACCAATCTCTAATTCTTTATAATCTAAAACTTGTGACATTTTTGAATCTATTTTAATTGTAAAAAAGTGACGACCACTATTGGCAACATCCACTGCAATCAATTCTCTAACTCTTGTTGTGCATAAAACTACCATTTCTACATTAATTTCAACTGATGATCCTTTCTTTAAAACTCCACTACTTGGGGAAAATGATAACTTTATATTTGGTGAATGAACTGGTATATTACAAAAATTAAACGACGTTTTACCTGTACCTGTTGAATTTATTTTAATTTTATCTTTTAATGTTACACCAACTTTACATTTTTCACCTTCTTTTAAATTAAAATCTAAATGATATTTTGAAAACTGTACTGAAGATTTTGATTGTTCATCATCTGTGTGATATAAAAAAAATAAAAAATAAAATATAAGAATTTAAAAAATAAATTAAAAAATTAAAAAAAAAAAAAAAAAAGAGGAGACCAGTTAATATTTATTATGTAAATTTACAAATATATTAATATTTAAAAAACACTTACTTGGAAAAATTGAATGTCTCGCTCTGTATAATGATTTTGTTCTATCTTCTATAGTTTGTTCAAAAAATAGTAATTTTAATTGTTCAATTTCTTTTCCTTCTAAAAATTCTGAACATCCTCTATAGTGAGTTTATTTTTATTTTTGTGTAGGTTGATTTTAAAAAAAAAAATTTAGTTAGGATTGGGTTTAACAGATAAAAAAATTTTAAAAAAAATCAAAAAATTTTAAAAAAAAAAAATCAAAAAAAAAAAAAAAAGAGTGGAACAATAAAAGATTTTGATTTGGTATATAAAAAAATTGATTATTTTTGGGTCTGATGACTAAACCCATTTCGAAATTTTAAAATTTTATTATAAAAAAATTTAAAAACAAAGAAAAATTAAAATAGAGAAAATTGTTGTGTATAAAAAAAAATATACACAAAATTAAAAAAAAAATAATTTAAAAAAAATAAAATATATGTTTGATTGTACACTTACTTTTTTAATAAATTATGTAATTCTTCATCGTCATCTGATTCATGTTCGATTTCATTTGGATTATACCAATCTCCTTCTGAACTTGTATATATCATTTTATTTCTTTTTGAGTGTATGTGATATGTGTATTTTTTTTTTTTTTTTTTTTTTTTGAATAAATAAATATAATAATATTATAAAAAATTTAATATAATATTTTAAAGGTTGGGGATGAATAAAAAAAAGAGTAGTTTAAAAAAAAGGAAAAAAAAGAAAAAGATGGTTCTTTGTGTTTTTTTTCCTTAAATTTTTGATTACACTATAATAAATAAAATATTATTTATTTTATAAAATAAATATTAAAGATGAATAAATAAATGTGTAAATAATATTTGTGTGAATTATGTGATTGTATAGTTTGATTGTATGATTAATGTTGGGGTGTGGTGAAATTATGATAAATAAAAATTTTTTTTTTTTTTTTTTAATAAAATTTTTTTTTTTTTATAAAAATTAGATGTGGTTGTATGTGTGATTTTATAAATAATAATTTGCAAAAACTCTTTGAAATTTTATTTTCTTTTAATTCTATTTGTTTTTTATAATAAATATTTAATTTATTATAATCACTATTGTAATGTTTTTTATTTTTCACAAATAATTATTTTATTATTATTATTTCTGTATGTGTGTGTTATTTTTTTTTTATTGCGTAAGAGGTTAAAAATACAAAAAATGCTATATGCTTAGAATGAGTGGTTACTTAGTGAATATTGTATGTTGATGTTATTTATCTGTTTAGATGAACATTAAAATAAAAATAAAATTTTTTTTGTGTGTGTGGTTTTTGTTTAAATGTTTTATAATTAGATTTTTTTATTTTTAGTGTGTGGGGTGTGTTCAAAAAATATAAAAACTATTTTTAAAAAAAATAAAACAAATATTTGTTGTGTTTTGTGTGAATTTATAATTATATAATATATAAATATGTATAATGTGTGAAAAACACAAAAAATAAAAGAAAAAAAAAAAAAAAAAAAAAAAAAGCAAATATAGTGTTAGAAAAAACGCAGATTTTTTTTTATTTTTTTAAAATTTTTTTTTTTTAAAATTTTTTATTTACTATTTTTTTTTAAAAGCGGTGCACAAAATTTAAAAAATAAAAAATAAAAAATAAAAAAAAAAAAAATAAAAAAACTTTTTTTTTGTGGATAAAAAGATCAAAGAGTGATGGTGTGGGTTAGATGGAATGTAGATCTTTCCACCTAAATTAAAAAAAATCATCATGGTTAGATTCCACGAGAGGACTTTCTATACCTTCATCGTCGCTACTATCAATATTATTATTGGCATCAAAGGGTTTTGACGATGTCTCATTGTCAGAATTAGCAACAATATCGTCTTCGTTTTCCTCTTGAATTAATTCTTCGTTTTCCAATTGATCAATTGCTTCGTAGTCATCTTCAAGACTATTTATTTCTGGTTGAGCATTTTTGATTTTTTTTGATTTGTTTGATTTAAGTCTTTCTTCATTTTCGTCAATAATCATTTCATCTTTATTTTCTTCTTCCATTTCGCCATCATCTTCATCACTTTCGTTATTGATATTATTTGGATCGCATTTTGAAAAACCACATTCTCTTCTGGCAGTTGAATAGCTGATGAAGGAATAATCTGTAGAGAATGAACTAGGGTTCATTGACAATGTGCCACAATATGAATGTTCATATTGTAATGCTTTATCGCCTATAACTAAAAGGTCTGGTAATGGATATAATGACATTGAATGATCATAGTTCCAATATATTGGTTTATCTTCTAATGTTAAATTGCATAAATGTGAGTTGCTCCATATTGATTCTAATAACTAAATTTAAAAAAAAAAATATGTTAGATTACAAATACAACAATTATTATAAAAAAAACCTGGTACAAAATTATTATGCGAGTATTTTTTTGGGTGTGAAAGCGTCAATAAAAATCAATCATAGAAATCGCCCAAAAATAAAATAAAAGATTTTTCTTTTTTTTTTTTTCAAAATTTTTTAAAAAAAATCTGTGTTATTTTTTTTTTTAAAAAAACAAAATGTGGATGTGTTTTTCAATGTGCATAAAAATGAAAAAGTCCCAAACTAAAAATAAAACCCACCAAATTGATAAATGGGTTATAAATTTTAGAATAAAAAGACCCAATAATAACTTTTTTTTTTTTTTATTTTTTTATTTTTTTTTTTCATGTCCACAATACAAAAATAATAATAATAATTATTTTTTAAAAAAAACAATATTGAAAAAAAAAAAAATTGTAAAAAACAAATAAAGAAAAAAAAATATCTAAAAATAAAAAACTATTTTTTTTTTTTAAAGCACAAACATTGTTATGAGGTTATTATAGCATTATTATTAATATTATTATTATTATTATTATTATTACCAAAAAATTAGATATTTTTTAAAAAATATGTATTTTTTTTTGGGCAAAGTATCTTTTTGAGATATTAATTTGAAATTTAATTTAAAAACATAACATCACAAATTAATTTAAAAAAACACAGTCACCAACAAAATTTTACGAAAATTGAAAAAAAAAAAAAATGAAATTTTAGCGAAAATTGTGTTTTTACTTACGTGTTGTGAAATGTGGCAATTATTTGATGGTTGTATAATACAATGTCTTCTCATTTTATTTGTTAAATCATCTCTAAATATTATAATTTCTTGTGTGCAATATCTTATTCTACATGGGTTGGTGGTAAAAATTGATTTTGGAATTTTAGATTGAAACTCTTTTACAAATACATTTGGAATTGGTAATTTTGGTAAAATATTTAGTAGTGAACCAGTTGGATCGGTTGGTCTAATTATAGTTAAATAAAAAAGAAAAAAGTTAATATTGGTTTTTTTTTTTTTTTTTTTTTTTAAATTTATAATTACCCAGGTACAAAAATAAATTGAGTAAATTTGTGAATATTTGGATACTTCAAAATTAAAGTTGCTAATAGATTAAAATTCTTTTTTAGGTCATATTGGGTACCATTGATCAAGGGGTGTTCGGTAAAATTACCCATCAAGACGATTGCGAATGGTGGATACTCTTCATACCCAGAAAATAGATAATCTAATCTTTCTCTAACTCTTTCAGAATCTAACCAAATATCAGAAAGGAATAAAATTGTATTATCAACTTCTTTTTCGTACCTTTCTAATTGCTCTAATGTTTTTTTTTGTGGTCTTTCACCAAACATATCAATGTTTTGTAATAGTTTTAATGAAATTTCTCTTTCTTCTTTTGGTGGTAGTTCAATTTTCTATAAACAATATAGGATGTTAGTATTGAGTTGGTTATTTATAGCATTATAATTATCACTTACATCAGCAATAAATGTGCCCTCTAAATATTCGCCTGATGCTCTTATTATGGTATTAATTGTAATTAACCCAATTTCAATATCAGGTGGAATTTCGATTTTAACTTTGGTATTTAAATCTTCTATATAGAATTGATCTTCTTCAATTACAGAAATTGTACCTAAAATGTGTTTTCTTCCATAACTGCCTAATAATGAGCTGAGTGGTGTAATGGCTTGATAATCGCCTTTATTTTTATCTGATTGTAAAACTGGTGCTGAAAATGATTCAGCTCTCTCGATTCTTTGTAATACCATCTGATATCTCCTTCTATATACATCTGATTTCGATTTTGAAGATCCATGCAATGATTTTTCAAAATTTTCACATCTAAAAATAAAGAAAAAAGTATTATTAATATTTTATTTAGTTATAAATTGTTATAATTATTGATATTTATAATATAATATTGATTGTAATTCCTGTTATTTTATTCAGTCTGTTACTATTATTGATTTTATTAAATTGATGAATTTTTTGGTATTTTTAAATGATAGTTATTATAGTTATGTTTAAGACTGTTGTTATATAAAATTTATTGGATTGTGGTTATTTACTTTAAAAATTGTTTTGTATTGGTATCATAGGTAAATAATGGTGAGTCAAATGCATCAATGACTTTAAGTGCATCTTTTTCAATTGCATCGGAGCTATTTAGTGATTCAATTAATTTAAAACATTTTTCTATTGCAATTTGATCGATAATATTATTATTTACTTTTTTTTTTTTTTTTTTTTAAAAATAATATTAGTATATTAAATTTAATTATTTTTATATATATTATGATGTTCATTAATTAAATATTTAATCATTACATTGGTTTTTATCTAAATGCTTTAAAATTTCATCTATTAAGAGGGCAATATTTGTTTCGTGTCCTTCACTTTTAATTTTATTTATTATGAGTTTCATTGCATCAGCTTTTGTTGAAAGGCCAACCAACGAGAAGGATTTGGTTATTTGCTTTTTCCATTGTATGTCCATTTTATAAATTTACAATATATATATAATAAAACAAATGAGAACTAAAAAATATATAAATGGCGCCTTGTGGGTAAGAAAATTTTGAAAAATTATTAAAAAAAAAAAAATTTAAATTTTTATAAAAAATAATTTTTTTTTAAATTTAAAAAAAAAATATTTTATTCCTATTTAATTTAATTAAAATGGAAGGACTGTTTTTAAAATGCAAATGTTTAAAAAACCCATATTCCAACTTTTAAAATAAATAAAAATAAATTAATTTATTTGTTTAAAAAAAAATTAAATTAAAATAATAAATTTTTAGGGGATAAAAAGAAATAGTTTTTTTTCGTATTTTTACGAATTTTTTTATTTTTTTTTTATTTACAAAAATGGAATTAAATAATAATAATAGTAATAATACTACCAATAATTGTAATAATAATAATGACGATGATAGTGGTAATAGTAGTGTAGATTTTGAAACATCAGTTAATAATTTAAAAGAATGGTTAGATAATAATGCTCCATATGGTTTGGTGGATCTTAGAAAAAGGGATGAGTATGAAAATGGCCATTTTATAAACTCAACCAATATACCTTTAGAAGATCTTGATGAAAGAATGTTTGAATTACCACCAAGATTATCAAATATAGGTATTGTTTTCAGCGAAGAAGATAGTTTTACTCCGGTAGTGGTTTATATTAAAAAAGATAAAAATAAAAGAGAATCGCTTGAAATCAAAACAATTAAAGAATTAATATTATTTAAATTAACCAACTATTCAATTCAGTTTTTAATAAATCAAAAGGAAATCGAAGGTTGTAGCGAATTAAAAGAGCGACAAACAGAGGTTGGTACCAGCTCTAAAATGTTGTGGAAACCATGTTTATATATAAGTGAAAATATTGAAACCATCGAATCAAAACTAAATCAAATCTATAGTGGTAAAAATGTTGGTAAATTTAAAGCAATAGATATAGCATGTGGTTCAGGTAGAGATTGTTTATTTTTGGCAAATAGGGGGTGTTGGAATGTAGTTGGTGTTGATAATGACCAAACCTTATTAAATAAAATGGTTGAAGCTTCCAAAAGATTTGATATTTCACAAGATGTTACTTCATTACTATTAGAGTTGGAGCCACCAGTATCAAAAAAAACCCAAGAAATTAGTAACCAAGAGTCTGAAGAAAAGCAATGTTATACTTTATTACCAACTTTATTAGAGCATTCAAAAGATCATACTGAAAGGGAATCAAATAATAGTGATGATGATGGCGGTGGTGGGTATGATCTGGTTCATGTTGCAAGATACCTTTACAGACCTTTATTCCCAGTATTAGGAGATTTAGTTAAACCAGGAGGCTTTGTAGTATATCATACATTTATGGTGCCAGGCACAAAACCAAAAAAACCCAGATTCTTATTAAACACAAACGAACTAAAAGAAAGATTTAATGGTTTTGTAGTTTTGGATTATAAAGAAACTCATTTGGATGACGGAAGACCTATACAAGTAATATTTGCACAAAGGCCATTAAATGAAACAAAATAAAATAAAATTTAAGTAAAATGTAATAAAATAAAATATTAATCATATAAAAAAAAAAAAAGATTGTTTTTTTTTTTTTTTTTTTTGGTTTTTATTATTGTAATATCTAAATAAACATTCTTAATAATAATATTTAATAAACATTAAATTGTTTTTTTTCTTCTTTTTCCTTTCCTTTTAAAAAAATAAAAAGTTTTACATAATTTCACCAAATTCTGATGGCCCAAATATAGGTTCGCCTATTCTAATCAAACCTACTTTAGAATCAGCCGAGGCTGTCACTAAATCTATAATGTAAATATTAGTATTATATTTTGGGTAGTGGATAAAAATGATAAATTAAAGATACATTACATTCGTCATTTTTTGAAATTGATAAGTCTTGAATATCTCTAGAGTGTTTATAAACTATACCAATTAAGTCATGTTTGTAGTTTGTTTTATTGAATAGTCGTAAATTACCGTCATTGTTTGCTATAAATAGTTTAGTACCATTGTGTGTATAGGCTGTTTTCATAATGGATCTACTTGAGGGGATAACATAGGAATGTTGTAAATTACCATCAGGTAGGAATATTGATAGTTTATCGCCACCTACTGCAATACAAGAACCATTTGATTCGGGTGGTTCAGGCGTATGGGCTACACAATGCTGGGATGATGTTGAGTCCATTTGTCTCAGAGTATTCTTTTGATTATCTATTATTTTTACAGTAGAATCTGATGAAGCTGTTAATATTAAACTTGTGCTTGAACTTCCCAAAGTGGAACTACCACTATTATTATTTACATTGTTGTTATTGCCACTATTATTCCCTCTATTGTAATATCTTGACCAAGAGGAGTTTAAAATCTGTATATCGTTAATTGTATTTTGGTGAATTGGATCGATATTTTTAATTGTTATTGGTGATCTGATATCAATCTGTGATAAACCTTTACCTGTAATATTTGGAGTCACTAGTATATTGGGGTTATCTGGGTCCATTGCTATTGATGTTTTAATGGCCCTGAAAACAACATCTATCAAATGACTGTATTACAGCTGCTTTTTCAACATCCAAAATCAATAGTTTATTTGAGCTTGTTGATAATGCAATTCTATTCCCACCAGTTAAAAATTTTACTATTAAAAAAATTGTAGTCAATATTTTATGCATATATTGATTTTTTTTTTTTTTTTTTTTAAATGAAAAACTTACAACCACTAAAATTAACTGTTCCCTGGTATGATATTATAGAGCTCGATTTTAATCTTCCAAATCTTGCATCGTATATATTACACTTACCATCTAATCCTGCAGAACAAAAAATATGGTCGTCATTTGGCGAAAAATCTACACCTTTAACAGCTCTGTGATGGGTTTCAAAAAAAGTAGCATTACCTAAAACTCCTTTATTAACTGGTGTGGTTGACGCTATATTTGATAATATGGTTTGTGTAAATAATTCATTGATTTCATTTGAGTGTATAACTGAACCATCACTTGCTAAAGAGCCAGCTAAAAGCTCTTGAAGATTGGATTGTGATGTAAGTCTCAACAATGAAAAGAATGGGCTGGTTCTGGTATTACCTAATTGGCTAATTAATGAGACATTTCCTATATTATTTATATTTTCACTCCCACTATTATTATTGTTATTACCATTATTTGAATTTTCTGAAGATTCGACTGTTGGTAGGGATGCTTCCATTTTATTTATATTTTACAGTTTTTATTTATTTATTTGTTTATTATTTAATTTAATCTATTTTTATGTTTATATTTTAATCTTTTGTTTGATATTAGGTTATTGGTTATTGGTTATTGGTACTAATATTTGTTATTTGGTTATATTTAATGTACAATTTTAAAATTTTTTAAAAATTTAGTTTATTTGTATGTTTTTTTTTTTTTTTTTTGTTTTTTTTAATAAATTCTTTTTCTTTAATAAAGCTTATCTTTAGGTCCAAACTAATTATATTTATAAGGATAAATAAAAAAAAAGTAAAAAATTAAAATAAAATAAAAAAAATTTAAAAAAAAATTTTAATTTTTTAAATTTTTTAATTTAAAAAAAAAATTATTTAAAAATTATTTTAAAAAAAAGTTTTTTTTTAAGTTTTTTTTTTCAAAGTTTTTTTTTTTTTTGGGATTACAATGGATATTAAAATAAAATTTTTGTAAAACAATCAACATTTTCCTCCAGGATTAAAGAAGTTTTTTTTTTCTTTATCTTTAATAAAGAAAATTCTTGTAAGGAATGACTTTTGTTAAATTATTCCTTTTTTGGTAAAAAAAAAAAATATCTTAAAAAAAAAAAAAAAAAAAACTTTTTAATTTAGCTAAAATTAATTATCATTTCGTTGGTTTTTTATTAATATAACAAATAAATAAATAAATAAATAAATATTTTGTAAAGATTTTTGAAAAAAAAAAATTGATTTATATACAAATACTGGTATGTTTGATGTTACCATTAATAACTCTTTTTTTTTTGTTATTGAAATGGTCACGGTTTGGAGTTGGTACTATTTCATGTTGATCGATAGAACCTGATATTTCGTATTCATTAACAACAACGACTTGTTGATTGCAATCTAATTCGACTTGGTCTACAATTGGTAAACTTGGAATTGGGGCAAGGGACATTGTTGATTTTAATGGTGATGACTTTTCACTTTTCATTTCACTGAAAGCGGTTGCAGTTAATGCCAAGGCATCTAATAATGAGAAATTACTATCATTGTAGTTATTTTCATTAGATTTCAAAGTTTTTTGAGGGGATGGTAATAAAGAAAGAAGAGAAGTTGATGCTGATGTTGATTTAGAAATTACTATAGGATTACTTGGTGATGGTAAAGCTGGTGATGACCATGATCTTGATGGGGTTGATGTTGATGTTGATGATGGTAATAAAGAGCCAGATTTATTGATCAAGCTTTTTTTTGTTAAACAAGAAAGTAATGATGAGTTTTCACTTTCTTTTTTACTAATATAAGTATCAATTAAACTATTAATTGATTGAACACTATTCATACTATTGTTAATATTATTATTTGATTGGTTATTATTATTATTATTATTATTATTACAATTGTTGTTGGTTGATTTTTTATTATTATTAATATTATTTTTGTTTTTATTATAGTTACTATTGTTATTAATTTCAATCTCTTCATAGTAACTTGGATGGTCATGTAATGAACCAAAACTTAAAAGAGGGGAAGAGGATGATGAAACTGAGGTTGATGAAAAGCTTCTTAATCTTGTTTTTGGTGATGACATGGGTGACAAAGATGGGACACCATCATACATTGATGGTGAGTCAATATTATTATTGTTGGTGTGAGATTTCTTTAATTTTTTAGCAGATTTTATTTCATCCTCATACATTTCATCCTCGTATTCCGATTCATCACCAGAAGTAGAAGATGATAATGAGGATGTTGAATTCTTTAATTTACTAGGTGATGAATTACTAGTATTTGAAACAGTGTTGGTATTGTTTGATTGTTGTTCACATGGGAAATTAAAAGATGAAGTAAAAACTTGAATGTTTGATTGTGGATAATAATATTCGTTTTTAAAGATATTTAACTCGACCAAGTAACCAATTGCAGAGAAAAAAATTGTAATTGAATTTAAATTTTCGATTGGACATTCGAACCATTTTGAAATGATAGTTTGGTAATCTGGAGTTTTAAAATAGCCAGGGTTTTCAAATGGTTGTTGTTGTTTTTGGAACAATGGGAACATTAAACATGTTTGCCATAATTTCTTTTTTTGTTGTTTTGAAAGTTTTTTAATTACAGGTAACCAAAAGCAAATAAGTGCTAATTGTTGAAGAGCTGCAGGATAAGAGAATCCCCATAGAGTAGATGTAAAGAATATATTTGAAGGAACGGACATTTCATTTTGTTGTGAGTTATTATTATTATTATTATTATTTAATGAGGTTTGATTTAATAAATTATTATTTTTTTTAATAGAGTTTGAAAATGCCTTGAAAAGCAATTCGATTGAATGATAGTTTATATTGTCAGTGTTTACTAATTGATTAAAATATGGTGTGAAATTTAATGTACAGTTTTGGTTTGTAAAAAATGGATTATGAATATGTGATGGTTTATCATTTTTATTAAATGTTTTTTTCATTGATATTCTATATAATTCATTCCATACAAGTTTTCTAACTTCTGGAATACATTGATCGATCTTGCATACCATTGTATCAAGCTGATCAATTAAAGAATTATATAGGGAAATAGGATCCTCATTTTTATTATTCTTATTATTATTATTTATATGGTTATTAGTATTGAATGTTGACCTTTTATTTTTAAATTATTTTATTTATTTTATTTTATTTTATTTTTATTTATTTGATTGGGGATAAATATTTATTTAATTATAATTATCCGTATATAAAAAAATGAAATTAATAATTTGAAGAAATTTTTTTTTTTATTTTTTATATTAAAATTAAAAAAAAAATCTTTGAATTTAATAAAATAAAAAATGTAGTTAATTGAAAAAAAAAAAAAAAAAAAAAAAAATTACTTTTTTAAAATAAAAATTAAAATATCTGTGTGGGTCTTTTGTGTGTGTGTTTTGTTTATTATGTTATAATTTTTATTTTATTTAATGTAAATAACTTTTGTTTTGAAATTAATAGATCCCAAATTTCAAATAAGGATGATCATATTATTTTTTATTTTTTATAAATTATTTAAATTATTTTTTTTTGGTTTGAAAAAAAAATATAATTTTTTTTAAATTAAATTTTTTATTTTTTTTATAAAAAAGTGTAAAATGAAGTGATTGTTTTTTTTATTAAATTTTTTTATTTCATATAACAGTTTTGGTGATAGATTTAGGACAACCAATTTGTAACAAAAACCATTCAGTGATGAGAGTGAGAGTGTGTGATATAATTTAAAAAATGATCTGATATAGTTTGATGGATGTTGTTGTTACAATAATTTTGTTAATAAAAAAAATAATAATATTATTTATAAAAGTGAATGTTTGCATAGACATCAAAACGATTTTTCTTGCGATTTTAAATTATTACTATTATTATTTTGATTATTATTAAAAACATTTATTTGAAAATAAAATTATCAAAAAATAAAAAAAATAAAAAAAAAATAAAAAAAAAAAATCCAACAACTACAATCAAAAAATAAATTAATTACAATAAAAAATAAATAAAATAGAGAATTATTACCTTTTTTAAAAAAAATGAACTATTTTGATTTTAGAATGAAGAGAACAAAGATTTTTTAAAACAAATATTATTTTATTATAATTTATGATAATTATAAAAAAAAAAAAAAATAATAAATTTTTATGAAAAATAGAAAAAAACTATTGATATTGATATTTATTGAACTTTATTATACAACTATTTAAATGAAAAAGGAAAAAGTGAAAGAAAGATATATATACAAAATAAAATATGTATGTGTAATAATTAATTAAGATATTATTTTTAATAAGCTGAATAAAAACATAAGGTTCATTTTTTTATATTATTATTACTGATAATATATTCTAATTTTTATTTCTATTTTATATTCTTATTCAATTCCAAATGAGAAAAACTACTAAAATTTTCACCAATGCTA